AATTTAAAATTTTTTATCTTGCATCCTTTCTAACGAGCCATACATCTCTTACATTTACTCGCATTTAATAATTTCTCAATCCATTATATTGATAATGGATTTAAATTAGATATTTTATAATAGCATTTTTAACACAGTGTTAGATTTATAAATTAATTTTAAAATGTCTACCATCGAACAAGTAAGAATAATTATTTTTTCTTTAAAATTACTATATTCTATATTATATAATTTTTCATCTTACAATAATGTTTAACTTTTTACAGAACTTAGATGAAACTTTCCTGTATTCTTTCATAATATTGAGAATAATATACGGAGAGATAATATTAATCCATTATTTTTTCTAGCCCTACGCTCTATTATTTTGTAATAACAAGATATTTTTCAAAATTAGATCCTTTTATATAATGATTGCCGCTAAATGTATTTTAATGTTTGTACACCGACATTATGTAATCAGTTACCCCTGCACTGATAGTAAATTATTACAATTACTTACTCAGTTTCGTTTTTAACGCATATATAATTCGGCCTTGTTTGAGAACTTAGCTTTTTAAAAAAATTTTTTTCGTATTTCAAATGTTACAGATACAATACGGTTATATCAGATCAACATTATTCATTAACCAGTCGTAAAATAAAATAAACTATTTTAAACAGTATTTTTTTTTTTTAATTTATCTAAAAGATAATCTATTATACATATTGGATAATAATCATAACATTCTTATCAAGATATACTTACATTTAATTTACAATAATATTAAAAGTACAATATTTAAATCTTTTAATATGCATTAACTAGTTATGAGTAGCTGAACAACAATTTTTTCTTTCGATGACTATCAAAAAGTATTTTTATAAAAATTATTATAATTGGATAATGAAAATTTATATTACAATTTCCGTGTCATTTAGAGTCATGAAATTTTTCTTGACTATAAAAATCATGCTCAATCTTTGATTATAAATGAACAAAAAGTGAAAGAAAAAAGAAAGAAAGAAAAAACACAATTCTCATCAATAATGTTTATAGCAACATCGACATAAAAAATTTTATTTTAAGCATTTCCATCTTGTTCGCGTTAAAATTAAATATTGCAATTAAATTCTTAAGACAAAATTCCTTTCTTACAATAACTATCCATATTAACAATAAATTAATATCATCAAATTAATATGAGGATTCAAATCAATAGTCGATGAAGTATAAATAATTATATAAATGGAAATCATTAAATCCGATGGCATAAGACAATCCATTAAACAATATATACTATTTGCAATTTGAACTATATTCGGCATAAATTAAAAAAATCCATCGTTTCAAAGAACACGAAATACCACCCTCCAAAAATATTTTAAAGCTATGAAATTTTTGGCACTGTATAGAGCCGTACGTGGCCAAGCGCTCGATAAGCAACTTAAGATTTCGACGTGCGCTATTAAAAGCAAAAACTCTTCCCAGAATCGACATAAAATAACCCTTTTTAATGGGTTGCCCTTTCTTGCTCTCTCTCTCTCTCTCTCTCTCTCTCTCTCTCTCTCTCTCTCATTTGCCACGATAGTCATCGTGTTTGTGAATTACTCGCAAAGAGAACAGCTTCGTTATGCTTTGCCCAGGTAGGTGTGCCTATGTATTTTATGGCCTGGAATGGCCAAACGTGAATTATAAGATGAACGTAAATAAGAAGCACCGGGCTCTCTGTGAATTTGCAAATATTTCGCATTACATGTGTCTAACAAGCAAAATATTGTTTGCGAGATTTATTCAATGAGATGCACTATTGAATTTGTTCTTTCGTCATCATATCATCGTTCGTCATATTATTGTAGCGTTCAGGCATTTTTTAAATTCTTTTAATTTTCGTTGAAATTCTAGTATTCAGATTTATTTTTATGTATTTTTTTGTTTATATAAAAAATAATATTATCTTCTACCAAGAAAACACTGTTTAATAAATAAGTAGTTTTACCTTATCAAGTGGATAAGAGCTCGTACATCGTACTTATCGTAAATGATTTCATAAAACTAACGTAAAATAATAATATTCGTTAGACTATATAGCACTTTTAAATAGTTTAAATAAACTTAATATAATTAAATAAAATTATTTTCTCTCTATTGTATTCGTGTTGGTTATTAAAGTATAGTTTTTTGAAATTATGATAAATTGGTGTCATTTTATACAATTAGGATAAATAATTACATTGATTAAACTAAAAATTATATACTGATAAGTAAAACTTAATAAATAAAACGATACTTTACAAGGTATTAATAAAGCTCGTGACAAAAAAATGTTGAAATAATATTTCGAATGTACAATTGTGATTGTATGCAAGTATTGTAAATATATTAATGGCACTATATTTTAAATTCAAAATTTTGTATCTATCCGTTGATTCGATTTATAATATTTAAAAAAAGAATAATATTTTTTACTTCTTTTTTTTCTATAAATAAGCAATAAGCTTTAACAGTAAGTACAGATGCATTAAATTTTATTATCATCAAATTAAAGTGCTTAAAATACTTAAATACTCATTTAAAAGTAACGTTTCAAATGACTTATGTAAAATATTTAAATTCTATCAAATCCAAAATTGAGTACTATTATATTAGAACGAAATATTAGATATTCTACCGTAAACATTACTTAAGGGTAAGAAGATTTCATCTTAAAGAAGCCCCAAGCGCACGCAACAATGCACACGTTACTTGAATAAATTGGAACATTAGTATTTCACAAACGTTTGTACTTGATTAATCTTAAGCATGCACGAAGAAAGTACAGGCATGTTTAAAGTGCTCGATTCATTGTTACCGGTAAGCGACAAGCTAATTGGAAGAATGGACTGACGGATGATATATACTTGGATGCTGCTGCAGTTACTATTGCTGCTGATTTATTAAACACGCACGTGTATTAAGCATGCAATTTTCCCAAATTATTTTAATATTTATTTAACTCGCTACTTTTCATCTTCCATTTTTTGCTTGGAATATTAGTGAGACATTGGTGTGCGTATAATAAATAAATGTAAATGACATGTTCAAATTTATTAATTAAAACTTATTAATTACATCTTATAATATATTTATATATGATGAATTGTATAAAGCGAATCTCTCTAATAGTTTTATTATTCATTCCGTGTGGCATTATATTAATATAACACTTAATATTGGATTAATTTTTAATAATTATAATTTCATCTGTAAAAGTTTCAAGTGTATGCTATTAAAATATATATTTAAAATAGGAAATCCGACCTAGTTAGTATTCCTATTTAATCAAGTGTTATTTTGACGTAATCGTAATTGTTTAATATATTTTTATTTTTATTTTTGCAATAATCATGTATTTATACAAAACTTATTAAACAAAATTTATAGTAATAATATTACTGCGTATCTAATGGACCAGAATTTGAAATATTTTAATTAAAATATTTATATGTAACTATCGACCGTATAAGCAAATATTTATTAGCGCCTTGTATTCGAAGGGTTAAATAAGTTCTTAATCAATTTACTTATGAATTAGTTTTCTTTTACTTAAAATATAAAATGTTGACTTTGGTTCTACTTTGATGATACAACTGAAAGTTTTCAAATATGTCTCGCAATGCAACTACACAACACATTTAGCACAATTAGTGATTTCTCATTTTCCGTGTCAGCGAATTAGTTCGCAAATTAAAAACTTCACATCATTCGTGTATATTTTAACGTCTTCATTCAACTGCACAATTGTTTATCAAAGTAATATTAATTCTACGTTTTGAAATATATTTTAGAATTTCAAAATATTTACAAAAAATTCGCTTATGTTTTTTTATATTTATAGTTTAAATATTAATTAAGCGTGCGCGCGCGTGTAAATATATTAAAAACATATGTCATTTAAATGCTCCCTAACATTCATCTTATCTAATAAGTTGGAGCCGTATAAATTATTTGTAATTGAATTAAATTGTTTTGAAAAATATTTCAGCAATTTATTAATTATTAAAGCAACTATATTTTTTTATCGAGATATAAAAAAAAAAATTATGCTTAAATTAATCGCTATCATTATACAACAAAGTGTGATTAATTACTTAAGAACATTTCTCAAACATATTTAAGTGAACAAATTTTTTTACTTAATTTATCAGTACGGAAGTTTAAAAGCTCATGCATCAATCGCTCGTAAAAAGGTAAAAAGTAGTAAATTTCCATTAAAAAAGAACCTTATCGTGTTACAAACCATTACTAAAGTACACACGTCGTGCGCTTTCTAAACGTGAGAATCTTATCAGCTATCACGAAAGTCCCTTTACAAAACACGACCGGCTAATTCTTAATTTACCTTTCCTTTTAAATGTTTTCTCTTCTTCGCATTCGGTAACATCATTATTACTTTCAGAGTGTCCTAGAAAATCACGCGCGATTTCTCCAACACGCGGCAAGATAAATGTCGCAAAAACCTGCTTTTACCACCTTCTTCATACCAATTTCTTGATGTTCGTGTAGATGAATTTCAAGAAGAAACATGTACTGTAAGTTATAAGTATCTACAAAGCGATATTAACAATTCGTATGTATTGAAATATTGTCCTTTGCAAATTTAATATTGTTATATACGTTTTTTATAACTTCTATAATACCGTAAATTAAGTCTGTTTAAAATCAAGGGATTAAGAAGCATTCGTTTTGTATCTACATCGTTAGTTGAATATTAAACAATCATGTTTGATAAAGGATTGAGGCCTTAAAAATATTCGAATAAATGTAGCACCTGTAGCTTTACGAAATTTTAATGTAAAATCTACGTAATTACATATTTACAATTCCTTAAAAAGGAATTAAGTTTCTATCAATAGCTATTAATTCTTGAATTACAGATTAGCATGAAAATACAAATTAATCACGTGGTAATGAATAATGAACTTTTAAAATAGTCCTCGGCAAATATGCTATATTATTTACAATATAAAAGTAAGCTTACCCCAATCTTGAAACTATGCAAAACAATTAGAGCATAGCCACCGCTATGCCAATGCCAATATCTCTGGAACATAAGTTTGGTATGGAAAAGAAATAGTACTTAACGTCAAAGGCGGCAGTTCCACTCTTCTCATTGCCCAACCATAAGCCAAAAACCATACAAAACCATTCAAACTTACCGGTTTCGAACGGATGATGCGCAATCTGTCAAAGATTGCCTAATATGTTGATTTGGGTGCACTAGCCGTACGTGAAATTCATGGGAGAGGCCGGCGAAGTCGGCGTTCGCGGACTGAATCAGCCGCATTAAACTCCGCACCTTCCATCCTTCCAAAGAGTTTGTTGCTGCCACCACAGTGACATCTTTTGGTCATTATCCGCACTCTAACTAACTCACTCACTCTCACGCTCTCTCGCTCTCTCACTGTCTGATCGACTTTACTCGCGCACTTGTTGATAATCGTCTCGGTGAAATCCGTTATCGTATTATACGAATGTAATTCGTGTAAGTGCATAAAATTATAGCTGAGAAATATTATTTACTTAACGACTGCTTAGCGAGTGGTTAAATATTGATCGGGCCGAAATTTTACATTCCAACACTGTAATTGTCCGTAATATATATTATGAATAATATAAAAATCACAGCTTTAATATTCACTAAAACAGATGCTAAGTTACGCAAATTGAGTAAAAAATATTTTCCCTCCGTTTCACGACATTTAATAAAAATTGTTTCACCAGGCCAAGCGATCGTTAATACACAACTCGATTTAAATAATTTTAACATCAAAGTCATTTTGTCAAGACTCAGCCAATAACTAATGCGATAGTCTTCGGTTCGTTAAAAAGACTTTGACGATAACTAATTCGTGCTTAGCCACCACCACCATCAGTCAATCACGTCGTGACCTGGACACTTATCTGAATATAGACTGTATATAATATAGATTTTTCGCGTTTTAAAGAGTCGTTTCCGTAGGTGCGGTCACATTATCGTAAACCACACTCTGAATGCCATAGTACTATAACGAATTATTCGAATAATTATAAATAAGGCTCAAGTAATGAATTAAGTTTGAAAATCTTAGCTAATTATCTTATTTTACATTTCAAAACTTAAAAACGCTCATTTATCAAATTTAGGGAAAAAGTGTAGTTTTTTTTCTTTGAATTTCATACTTTAGTTTGATTTATTTTAATACGACATCACATGGCTTGATCCTTGTCGGTGCTGCGATGACTCCTAGTCAGAATTGAATAGAGCGTGCACTATAGCAGAAAAATAATAATTGCACGTGAGAGATAAGATGAATGAGAAACAAGTGAAAATGAAAAAAGTCGGAACAAAAGGGATGCAGGGCTGATCGATATCACAATAGAATTTTTTGCACATTTAATGGAAACAAACGGTTTATTGCTTTATATTTTTATATTTATACCGTATTTTTATTTATAATCAGTTTAGAGTAATAGAGTTGGATGAATTTCCTCTCAGTTGTTACGTGATACAATAAAAACAAAACATTCTTAGTTTTATGTAGGAGTGATAATTAAACGGTGCGACACAAAGAAATATAATTGCAGCGCACTTCGAGTCCTACGTTAATCTGACGATTCCTACGTTGCGGTGCACCTGACGGCTGCCAAAGAAGTGAGACGAGGTGTTGGTGACACGTGAATGGGCGATTAATGAGTGCAAGGTAAAGCTACGGATGGAGTCGAAAGTTGTCGATAAGCCTTACTGATACGACAGCAGATTATAGCGAATATAGCCAGTGGGGAGGTCAAGTATTCCGGGTATCTACCTGAGGTGGATATTCTTCCAGGCAGTTGTCTTACCATCATCTCTACCTTCTTTTAATCGTTTATCAAGAAAGAGGAGATTATCAATGCTGAGCCAACCTGAAAAATTCAGAAGTTTGAGGGCGGAGGGTTGAGAGACCGATGGTACCCACTTCAGAATGGCTATCGTCGAATGACTTTTAAATCAGATAGTATTTCATGTGATATTTGTTATTATATTGGTATAAAATATATGTGTATGCGTTCGTGTGCCTAGGCTTATGCACGTTTAAAGAGTGTGTGTCTAAGAGTGTGTTGTGATTTATAAAAAAGTGATTTTATAAAAAATATAGTTCTCAATGTAATCAAGTCTCAATCGTTGTCCCGATTAAACGAGATGGATGATCGACGCTGGGATATTGTTTAAACTCTATTTAAATTCGTCGAATTCTGAAAGAAAATCCATTAAAGCTAAGCACTATATCATCCACTGCCGAACATAGTCGATTCGACTAGACTCGGCTCGGCTCGGCTCGGCTCGGGTCAGCTCGGGTCGGCTCGACTGAACTCTGCTTCACTAGAACTCCAGTGGCTGAATTCGAAGAATCCGGCCGAATTCAGTTAGCACTACCAAATTCGTTGTCGATCGTCCTTTCTTCCCGCGCTTCTCAGCTTCTTGTGCCAACCCTTAACTCCATCATATTATTCGTCCTCTGATATTTATTTCCTTTCTTTTTGCCTTCACTTTACAACATGTTCTCTAAAAGTTTTACAAATTACTATGTCACAATTATAAAATATAAAATACTCATGCACCGACCGTGACGACATTTTTTCCAATTCTTCTGATGTTTCATCTCTTCGTGCCGATAATTCAACTTTATATGTAATTAAATATATTTACAATTTCAATAATAATATTTTTGAAGCGCCCTATTTATAATCAAATACTAATTTTACCTTTAGGCGTGTACACACACACACACACACACACACACACACACACACATATATATATATATTTATTCGTTTATTAAATAAAGCATATTATACATACAATAATGCTTACGACTAGAACATATCTTATGCTTCTTTTATTTTAATGATTTATTAATTTGAGTAGCGATTTATCATGTGCTAATCGTAACAATTTCAATAACGTTAAACGATTGTATACATTAATGTAAATGAAAAACATTGGTATAATTTATTCGAAAGTACAAAATGTTTAACAAACAACGTACATAAGTAGCCTATTGAATATTAATATATTTCCGAATTTCTATGGAATATACTTAAGAACTGAAGTACTCATTTATACCAATTTTAAGCTTACAAAATTTGTTTGTTGTCCAATAAATATTGACGCAAGAAATCCAATTCGAATTCTAATTCAGGATTCAATGTATAATATTTTATTTTAATTTATTCAAAAACATTTATAAATATAATTCTACAAAAAATATCTATTTTTAAATTTTTATATAAATATTCATATCTTTTCATTTCAAAATGTATGTATTTCTTAAATATAAACAATCAAAAATTATAATAAGAAAAATTTTATTTCATCAGTTTGAATTTCGTATACAAGACTTTGTAAGAATTCATTTGTAATTATGTTTAATAATCTACGATTTTCATGTATATACAAATTTTATAGTATTCACAAATCCTATAGTCATATTACAATTTAATATAAATATCATGAATATCCAATATATCACTAATTATATTTCATTTATAACAATATTATTCTTAAAAAAAAATATCTATAAAGATAATGTATTTTTGCCTAATATATATATATATATATATATACTAGCACGAGCTCGAGAAATAGTAAAAATAAGATATAAGTAATATGATAATGTAATAAATATAGCATGATTGTAAAAATAATTATTTTAAGTAAAAAACAATAATATTAATTTAATGTTAATATTGTATTTACATGTGTTACAACTCGAATACATGGATATATTTATATATTTAAATTATATATAGATTTGATATTTATTCAAATTATAATTATTAAAAAATATTACGATATTTTATTTAATAATTATATAATAAATACAAATCTATTAGCTTTTTTTTTCATTTTTAGCGAATCTCGATGGAAAATGTATAAAAATGATTATATTTTAGAAATAACACAGTATGGCAATTTATAATATTTTTATACTTTTAATTTCATTAAGTGCAAGTTTAAATAATATGAATAATATGAATTTTAAAAGATAATATATATTGGCAACGCATAATTAGCGTAATTTTTTTTTTTTAATTTTACAATTATAAAAATAAAATTTATATTCAATTCCTAAAATTATACTAACTATATAAAATTATGCATTTGTACATATATATTTCTCCATATTTTATATACATTCTCACATATTATTAACGCATGTTGAATCAGTATTATATATTATATTAAAATGATGTCTTATTATTTATTAATAATATATCTTAATTTTATTCACTTGCATACAACATGTAAATGAGCGAAGAATGAATCAATGCTTTCATGGAATGGGATTGTTTGAAATAAAATGAAGATGTTTCATGGATCATTATCCGAGTGATCGTAATTTCGGTAGCATGAAATCAATTACTAAATTTAAACAAAATGCTAACTATACTAATTGCAAGTAAATGCCAATTTTAAATGCACATCTTCATCGAACCAATTTACTAAATATCCGATTATTGACTCTGCAAACACACGTTATTACTCAAAGCATCTACAACCGTATTTTTGGCAGCTTATTTGACAAAACTAAGATTAGTCGGTAAACTACAAATTATAAATTGTATGCGCTTATTTCAATGTTTTAAACATAATATTTATTGTATTTACAAATCACACAAAATACATTATAAATAAAATATATTTTATAAAATCTATGAAGTCTTTTATAATCAATAATCAATAGGTTAGGGTCTGTTATAATCCTGATAAATGTTTTACATGTTTCGTAGCATAAGAGACGGAAGATAAATAAAATTCAGTATAATAAAAAGGAAGGGTGACACAATAAGATTTAATCTTAAATTTATACCATTAGTACATACCAAATTATACTAATATATTATTTATTTTGATTACAAATAAATAAGTTTATTGACAGTGTAAAACAATATTCGTAAAAAGTGGAAACTTATTTATTATGCATAACATTTAGTACATTTGATGTAAATATTCTATCGAAGAAATATAACTAGTAAAATTTTTAAATAATTTAATTATCCATTTAATGAAATAATCAACCGCTATCAATGTGCAGCTTACGATAAAATATTATCAATGATATATAAATTATAATGATTTTACATAATGGTTGACTAAATTTTTATTTCTTATGAATTTCTCGTTATATCTGTGCATGAAGCACCAATAAAAATTCCTTAACAAAGTCTAACGAAAAATAAGAATCTTAACTTGTTGAGACATAATGAATCACTTATTGAAATTAAAATGGAATAAAATAAAAGCAAATATTTTTGAGCATATAAATATTACAGAAATAAATTCATTAATAAAAATCATCAAATACAGATTCTCGACATAAGGTACTGACAAATATTTCAAGGAAAAATTAAACCATTTAATTTCTATTTTGTTTTTAGATCATTTGTCGTTTTCTTATACCTATTCGAAGATTCCTCCATTGACTTCATCCAAAGTTCGAGATCCTTGTTAGGAGTTGGTCTTACTACGGTTGGATCAATTTCTGCAATAATTTCGGATACTGGTACCTTGATGCCGGTTACACTTTGTTTGCTCAAAACTACAGCTCGTACAAAATTGTCCGAAAGACTTATAAACTCATGCTCCAGGTAGAAATTTCTATCATCCCAGTAAATAAGCTAGAGAGAAAATGTTCACAGTATGTACAATAAGCAAGAAATTTAATTAATAACGTCTACAAATGTAATTCAATTAATCTACTCGAATCAACTGGTAACGAGCAATAGAATAGTGATTTTAAGATGTTTAATATATCATTCGCTCATTTTCCAAGAATCTTAAATACTTCTCTTGCAAATCCGTAATTCTTTAATGCTAATGTGAGTTAATTGTTTATTATCATTATATGAAGAGATAAACTTATAGAATCATTCTAAATATAACGATTTATAAATGTGAAAATAATACACGTAATATAACAATGAAATAATTTCATAATATTTATTTCACTACAGATGAAAATTATAGTGGTTACGACTTAATAATTAAAATATGCCTTATTATTTTTAGAAATAAACATATTCAAAATAAATAATCCTTTAGAGCTTATCAAGTACTATTCCAAATTAATAAATAATACTTAAAATTAATTCCTGTTTGTCCATTAGAGATAAAAAAATTAGATCATTGTCAAATCATTCGTTTAAACAATATAATTAAAATTGCAATACAATAATTCAGATTTATGCAAATATTAATAATAAATATTTGAATTATTACCTGCGTGGTAACTTTATACATTGAAAAAATAGGAATGGCACGTCGATAACGTGAAAAAGTTGCGCCCTGTACAGCACCACCACCTTTCTTTGAGATCACCGAATAAATTCCAGAACGATCATAGTATGAAAATCGTGCAAAGTCCAACTCGCGCACGTATCTTGCATTATTCATGTGCTTCATGAATAAGTCGATATCCATTGTTAAACAAACGCCTGTAAATACATAAAATAACGATAGTGTATGTTCAATGCCGAAATTTAATGCGAATATCTTTTCATTCTACGCGCACACCATTAAAATACTAATATTTATTTTTACCTACAAACTTTATGTGCAAAAAAATGTATGAAGTTATTGCATACAATGAAATAATGAGCTTAACATTATGTATTAACTATATGCATACTACACATACATTATACTACATTTGTTACAATAATTAAAAAATAATATCACTTTTTGCATTTACATTATTCTATTAATTAGTTATTAGAGTAAGTAGTATACCTATAAGGCTTTTAGTTCAACTATTTTGTTCATAAATTCCAGTATTGAGCAATGATATATGAGATCCCCACCATTTTACCTACGACTATTGTATTAGTGAAATCCTTCGAAGCTAAACGAAAAAAGTTTTAAGAGTAAATGATACTGTCGGATAAATAGAGGGATGAGAAATAACAAAAATACAATTATTATGTACAATTGTATACACATTGAATTTGTATCGATATACTGGACATACCAACCCTGTATTACATATAACGAGTGACTTATTTTTGTATAACGATCCCCACCTTTTTGGCTACTCTGATAAATATCGATTATATATAATAAGATGCGCCGGGATGATAAAATATCGTGGTTCTACTTAAACTTTTTCGATTCTAATTCCACAAAACTTTATTATTTAATTATCAAGGTGTTGAGTTTAATTTCCCAACCAATATTATAATGCCAATACAACTAAATTATGCAAAACACAAAAAAAAAACAAAAAAAAAAACAAACAAACATAAATTTATTTACAAAATACTTTAATAAATAATTCTCAATTTAAAACTCATAAAAATAAAAGCTGAATATTTTATTATTATCATAATATTACAGTAATCAGTATTTTTGTAAGGTAATATATTCTCCATTACGGAAATGAAAATGAATGTTTAATATGTATGCTGCTACCTAAGTTTTGTATCTTGCGGGTATATATTTTTTAAAATTTACAGTTACTAGTGAAATTTTATACGCGCGAAGAATCTCGGTTAAAAAATCCAATAAACCGTTTACCTAAGCACAATTTTTAATTCATCGTGATACAATTTTGAATTCATTACTTGTAAGAAACATCCTTCTATGTATTATAAAAAAAAAAAAATTAATTTAAATATTTCATTATTGAAATTATTATTAAAATCGAGGTAAAATATTTAAAAATAAATTCACATTATATTAATCCATAAAAATACTGTCAGTATTTCCTCTAACTTACTTAATATCTATTATATATTTTTATCCTGTAATTATTATAATTATATAAATAATTGTGTAAATGTATCAAAGGGGGATAAATTTTTAATAATATAAATTAATATACTTACATTATTCTTAATGAATATAAAAACATAAATATATAAATACAAACATAAAAATGTAATATAAATTTAGGACAATTTCATCTTAATTTTCTATTTATATCAACTATAAAGTATGTTTTTTTTTATTATTAAAAAATATAATATATAAGAATATAATAAGATAATAAAAAAAAAGTTATATAAAAGAAGTTATTCCAATAAATATTGGAATAATATTTTTTATTTGCTAATAAATATTATAATGTACTATGTAGTGTTATTAATTTTATAATCGTTAAATAATTCAATATTAAATTCTACTATTTTCAAATGTATTAAAATAACGATTTTAATTTTAATAAATTTTTGTAATATATTTAAGTTTACAGTTTAATGTATTAATTCATATTAACATAAATATACGTTTAATATCATTAAATACGAAAAATATATGAAATTAGTGTGCGTTTCGTTTTTATAAATAAAACAGCGGAAAATACATGGACTAATGGCATTATATAAAAATTATTATAAGAAATTAGAAGTAAAAAATTAGTTTCATGTTTTATATAAACGAGTGCTTTTACATAAGTTAAAGAGCAGATAAAAGAAATGATGTCACTATTTGACAAAATAATTTTTATTAATTTTAAATTTGATATAGTGCTTAAGTTAATATTTATATTTGTAGCTTTTGCGGTTGATATGTACAATCTTATATTAAAATTAAAAAGAATATTGGACAAACATTAGCATGTAAGAAATGTTTAATGTGTTTTAGACATAGTTAGCTCAGCTTAAAATAGTAAATAAAAATTATTTACGAGAAAATATTTTAATTTTATCGGTGTTTTACTTAGTAATAATATAACTAAATATATGTATTTTTGATTTACTTAAATAATATAAAAACGATATATAAAATCTTAAGCGCACCATAGATGTCAATTTTCTTCAAAAGTTTGATCTTCTTTTGAAATTGTCTGCCATACAGAATTGTGAAGATTATCCTCAAGAAATAATTAACATCAAACAGTAGGTAAAGTATTGTTATACATGTTAGTACGAAATAGCTTATCATTGTGTTTGTTTAATTTCAATCTAGGAATAAGTAAAATAACTAATAGAACCAGAGGCGCGATAATAATTGACGTATAAATAAAGAAATAATAGGAATGAGAATGTGAATGACTGCTTCCGCACACGGTTATCTAAAGACTAACTAAACATTTCCAGGCAGTACTCGCGGAATACCAGTTTCTATCTACTCTCGAGTCAACCGGTAAAATATTTCTGTCCGTTATGTTGGATTACCGAACAGCTGTTTGTCCACTCGCGATCAAACTTCTACATATATATTATGTGCCAAAGAATAAATGCTTCTCGAAAAGTATATATACCCCCCCCCCCCACCACCACCACCCTCACCGTTTCGTATATGCTCATTATTGATCATTCTTACGATAGTTGATATAAATAAAATTCTAATTATCATTCTCATAAATATTGTGCAATAACGAGTTTATATGCATACGTATGCGTGCATCTGTTGCGTGCGTGTGTAACCATACATATAAATTAGTAAAAGGAATTATAGTTACAAATTACGGAAAACATTGATTTCAAATTTGAATTCTTCATTTGCGCGTGGATCACTGTTAGAAAATTTTACGATTTTGCGCAGAATGATTTTCTGATATTCACTATGTCAGCGCGGATTTTGAATACAATGCAATGAACATGACTAAATTACCATTTGACTTGAGCTTCATAAAATTTTTCGGCATTTTTACCCAAGCTTAAAATGACCTGTAATAATAAACATTAATGTAAATATTCTGAAAAGATTCATATAATAATATATTTTAATGCATTATATTACAATATTATCCATAAATTTATATTTCAAATATAAAAAGTCTCGGAAAATATTTTAATATACTAGAAATATATATGTGTCATAAATCAACATTTTTTCATGCTTGCACATTACTATTTATCAATTATACTACCTCTTACGGATAAATTTTTTAAATATTTTTGTTATATTTTACATAATTATATAAATATAAGTTTATATATTACATAATTATATAGCTAGGCAATATATTTCATCTAAGTCTCTAAATATATACTTGATTACAATATGTGAACAGTCATGATACTTACAATTGAAAATCATTTCTAAAAGATACAAGAGTGACTTTACTTAACTTTATAGCGAGCTTATATGCATGTAAATGATTATAGAACTTACGTTAGTACTTATACATATATCGCTCGCGATAAAATTAATGAATGCGGCTAAAACATTATGCACATATATTAGAAATAACTAAATACATACACACTGACCGGTAATTACAGTAAAATATTAATGATTTTCTAGTTTTATATACTTTAAAAATATTACCAGCAAATATCAATGAAACCTTGTTGTTACTAATATATATATATATATATATATATATATATATAAAGTTATATATAACTTTTTACTCATGTATATAATTTTCATTATTATTAAAAAAATGAACTACTACTACAACAAACTTGACTATAATAAAGAAAATTTTCAAAGAGTAATCAAATTTATTTTCATAACTTATTTTCATAACTTATTTTATATAATTTTTTAAAATTTATAATCATTTTAATTTTAAAAATATTAAAAACCAAATAGATAATGAAAAAAATATAATTTTAATTCTAATACATTAAATGAAGAGCTTTTCAAACAAAAATAGAGAGAAGCATAAGCAAACAATTAATTTCTATGTACACCATGTTATTATATTCAATGAATTATAAGTATTAACAGAAGTTATTTAAAAAATTGCAATTATTGAAATTCAATTGCAATATTTGAAATATATTGTATTTTTGAAATGTTCTAGTTCAGTCCATATTACGAAATTTTACTATTAAATGAATGTAATATATCATTAAAAAAATTTTAATTTTAAAAATTTTAAATGTTACATTGGATTTGATCAAATAAATATTGAACAATATTTTTGTACATCACTATTAAATAATATAAATTTTTAAATTGAGAAAATTTTTATTTATTATCCTAATGCATTTTGATGAAGCCTCTATGGTGCATGAACTTTCAAATAATGAAAATGTAACTTTAATTATAATTATGTAAAAATAGAGCTCTCAATTAATAAAATTGAAAATCTTTCTATTAAAAAATTTCTGTGTGCTATTGGATAAGATGTGCAAACTATGATCATAGCTTCAACGACAAATACAATTTGCAATAAAATTTAAAGTACAAATATTCTATAAAATATAAAATATTCTATGCTTATAAAATTTCTGTATTTATATGTAAATGTAACTTTATAGGAATATCATAGCTGTCATTCAATTGTTTTTGATTTGCATGCAATCCTCAATCTTTCAAATTAATTACATTTTATAACCACTTTATCTATTATCATAATATTTCTAATTTAAGGTAAATAAAATTATATGATGCAGATATAAGAACTTGCACATAGAAGAAATGTTATATTGTCAATAAAGTGTAATGAAGTTAGTTAGTTTGAAAAATTATAAATATATATTATAAAGTACTTTAATTTAAAAACTTGTATATTCTTTTTAATAGTAATTAATAAATTATATTACTAAGAATAAATAGAAATTCGTATACTCTTTTATAAAGAATACATTATGATTAGTGTTCGTTGTAAATTTTATTTAATATTCTAGTCAATAAACTGACTAGGAATAATGGAAAACATTTTACAGTGACTCTATATTACTTAATTGTTAAAAGAGATAATTGCTAATAATAGCAGAGATTGAGAGTATATGTGTTTTTTAGAAATAAAACTAAACAATTGTAATTTAATATGATGAATTTTCTAAAGCAGTCATTAATTATAAATATAAATTATAAGTCGTAGAAGGTTATGGAATGTAATTTGTTTGAATATTTGAAAAAAAAAATTTAATAAGCTTTGGAAGAGTTTATTTAATTTCTGATGTGGCATATTTCAAAAATCTGAAATTTAACATTTTAGAGGCATTAAATATAAGAAATTTATTATGAGATTTCTAAAGAATATAAATATAGTACATTCAAATAATCTAATTCATTTTTATCGATTCTTCATTCTGATAAGGTTAAGTAGGCTCTTTATTAACCCTTAAAAATGATTTAAAATGAAGAAAATTACTTGTTTTCAAATATTAGTATTAGTATAATGAATGTTGAAATAAAATTAACATATTGAAGAGTTGATTGTACAATGTACAAACTTCTTTTAGCATATGCATATTTATGTAATGAAACTTACTTGTTTTTTTTTGTTTTTAGATGTGTTTTGTCTGAAAATATAATTGAAAAATTCAAAATGTGAACATAAATAAACGTGAAATACAAGAATATAAAGGTACTTATATAATAAAGCAATCTTACTATGCAATTAATATATAATTCTGACTTAATATATTTTAAGTAAAAATTTACCAAAGTTTTTACTCCTATTCGTATATGAAAACTCATCTTAACTATTATGAATGAAATAAATGTCATGGATATAATGCATAAGCATATATTTAACAATACAATAGTACATTGGTTAAGCTATAAAATTACATACAAAATTTGTTATATATTGAATACAATATAGAAAATTCACCATTCATAGCAATGGTACATAATAAATGGTAAACAATAAAAATATAATTTTGTCCTTATAAAATTTATTATTTAAAGGTTTTATCGAGTCTATTTTATAAATGATATTTTAAATCTAATTTAAATGTAACAATCATTTATTATGCTTTTATATTTATATAAGTTCGTCGCCATACATGAAAAAATATTACATAAACATACTAGCTAAAACGTAACAAAAATATAATTAATTGAATTTTAAATATATAATTTTTTTTTCTTGAAAAAATTATTCGAATCTTTTTAAGTACGGACATATTTAATTATTAAATCAGACTCCTTTTATCTGTTATATACACATGTTACATAAATTATAAACACAATTTTTAGTCTTTGGCTCAATACAGCTCAATCTAATATATTTCAATTACTAAATCCATCTACATTTTATTATAATATATTCAAACATTAAATTATCTACGTAGGTAATAATAATTTAATATATAGTGTTTCGATCTACAGTTGGCTATAAATTCTTAATGAAATAAATCAAAATTCAATTTGCTCCTTTAATATATGAACAATAATTTTTTTTTAAATGAAAAATATATATTAAATATTTGTTTCTAAATACTTTATTAAGTAATATTTATTTAATAAAATAAATTATAAAATTTTTGTTTTATCAAATCTTTGATTTTACAAAATCATTTTAAGAAAACAAAATAAAATACCATTATTAGAAATGACTACAGAGCCCAATTAATACCTCGAATTATAAAAAATTATTTGGTATGTTTAGATTTAAGAAATTAATTAATATTTTTATATAAAATTGTATAATGCTTTACATAATATTAATTTACATTGTACATTTTTATGGTTACAAATTATATTTCGTTCATACAACATTTTAATACAATTTAAAAATAAAGAGATCAGAGTATTAAATATGAAAAGTAGTTATTGACAGAAAAATGTAGCAAAAGTATTCCCTAAGAAATTAAAAATTTTTCAATTATTTTCAAAAATATTTTTTACTTATAAAACTATTTCTTCATTTTTTTATTATACCCTGATTTTATAAATAGTTTTTCAATATTATTTATTCAATGATTTTAAGAATTTTTTAAAATACCATATTTGTATCATGTTTAATTTATTGCTGAATATGTTGGTCTAATGTTGTAGTAAATAATTTTAACAATTTTAAATATTGATAAATTATATACATATTGTAACGTAATTTGAAATTCTATATTTTTAAACTTCAACATTTATAAAATACTTCAAGCAATTTGTTTAGCTAAAATATTAAATTATATTGAATATTTATTAATATTTTTATTACAAATCTTCTGATATATATATGTTACTGAGTTTTCGTCTATTTTGGGCAATCCATTTTATTATTCTTGATTGTCTCATACTAAAAAAAGACAACATATCTCAACATTGAACAGTAGTACACTTCAAGGTATCCTTTTTATAAAGAAAATTTTTTTATTTTTATCTCTTCGTATATTAAAAATTAATTAGATTGTATTTCTTAATAATTAAGTCAGTCAAAGAATAACTATAATAAAATGTAAATTTAAATAAAACCTGCTTTTTATGAAAATAAGTCGATTTAAGCGAATGAAATAAAAATGTGTAAAAAATTACTTGTTTATTACTTTGAAAATTTTAACCGGTGAAAAAATTTATTTAACATTTTATATTATGTTTTTCTATGACAATATAATATAATCGATAAATTTTACATTTTTCTTTTATAATAAAATAACAAAACTGACTTTAATCAAAGATATTACTTTGAATATACTTGTAATGCACATAATCTATATAAGTTTCATAAAATATAAATACCAGTGAGCATTCCACATTTTATTATCTAAATAACAATTAGTTTTATAACAATTATTTAAAATTTAAACTTGTGCGCATTTTGTTTATCAATCATTATCAGAAATCATAAAATAATCATACTAGGCGATTTTATCACTTACAGTTTTATCATTTATTCAACAATTCATTGCTATCACAATTTTTATTCCATTCTAGTTGTCATAAATTTTCAATCACATCATTTAAAAATGTAATGAATTTAGAAAGTAATTCGCACACCTATTAATTACAATTATAAAGCCCTACGTAATTCCATAAACTAAAAATACAAAGAAAGTTTAATAAGGTGATCGTGCAGTATGTAAATTACTTCTTTAATATTTTTTATTAAAGCCATTAAATAAAAATATTCTATTATAACGTTTTATTTTGAAACTAAAAATTAAATAATTGAAAAGAATGGTAAATATTAGTGTATATTTTATTTTTCAATCTACAATTATTAGTTTTACTTTTCAACGTGTTTTGTATATTAAACGCAAATTTTATAACATATTCATCTATATATATATATTTTTTTTTTTAAATCGTATTTAAATAAACAATGTAATAAAAAAATAATATAAATAATTTCTATTATTGAAATTTTTTAAATCTGTTTTTAACCATTTAGAGTGACAATTTGAATAAAAATTGAAACAAATGTAAAATGTCGATAAACTCATTTTTTTTCCTATCATTAAGATTATGATTTTCATCTTACTATATTGTAAAGAGAGAATCAAAAATCTGACAGGTTTATTTCTTAATTATATAAAAGTACTATTAAACATTACTTAAGTGTTGTTTAAACCTATTATGTTTATTTAGCGTTATACTTTAGACATTTTATTCTCCTTTTTTAAGAAATACCGAGAAAGTGTTTATAACTTAATAAAATTTTCCTTTTCTTCGGCTCTGTAAATAACTTAAAATTCAACGAACATCTAAATTTAGGAAATTTTATGAGTACGGAGAATACAATCTATTCAACTTTTGTACGCGAGCTTTCTTTCGCGAACGAAAGGTTTTATCTGGCCTTTTCATTATAATCAATAATCGATTAAGTATTAAGAATGCCTTTATTCGCGTAAATTCTAAAGGCCCATTTGAAAAAAGCTTTTGTGTACTTTCCTTCATTCGCACAATATATTTCATAAATAAATAATTATAACTATTGTTTAAAAGTTACCTTAAATTGAAAAGCATCGAAAAGCATTTTAAATAATACAGATTTAATTTTAATAGGTTCTTATATAAAAGAGAAGAGTAAATTAAAAAATTATGCAAGTTTCAAAATTTCAATTAACCGAAATCTATCCTTAAATCCTTAAATCTATCTTAAATGCCAACTTCAAATATTTCTATTAATTAGGGTGAAATTATTCAATATATTTTGAGAATCGTAGGAAAAACAATTTAATTGTCTCCATCGAAATGTAAATCGACAGCCTTTAAAATCAATTATTAGCCATGTTTGCTTTATAAGTTATTAAACTGATTGATTACATAAGGATGTTTAAAGAAGCATCTGGCATTAGATGATAATCAAAAATCTGAAGGAACATATTGAAGATGAATTTCAATTAATTATCGTCAATTAACAGACGATCTAGTTGTTTTGAATTTATGCCTCTCTAAAAAAGACCAGAAATAAAAAATGCATTGCTTCGAATAGTTACGCTCGACGAAAGATCGACTGCGGCAAATGATCTACGACTTCAACAATTGCCGCAAACTCCCGTTGCATCATTGTAAAAAATTCCAAAGTTGGTAGCGATCATAACAATCAATATCTCTCTAGTGTCCTATTCTGAGGTGGCAGTCAACGCCAATGACGTCTTCATCTCAACGTCTAAGAAGAGCGAAAAGGCGAGCCCACGTGTGAAGAACCAAAGTGCTCGCCATTACACGAGAGTCGTTTCTCGTGCCGTTTCTCGTGTCGTTTCTCGTGCCGCTTCCTGTGTCGTTTCCTGTGTCTCCTGTTCGCCGTAATCGCTGCTCTCCGTAGGTCAGCAATGTGTCGCGACAACTTGGAGCGGCGCCAACGGCTGCTCCCGCAGCTTTGCCGAGGAAACGTCATTGCTTTCTAGCCATCGTGCCACCTCCACCGGCATTTCCGGACGCACCTGCGGTATCTACGCAATGCAACGTAAAAAGATTATTCATTGAGCAGCTCGGATATTCTGTTAGAATTGTTTATATACGTATGGGGTGCGAGAATGAAGACGAGAGAGCATCGATAGGTTGGGATGCTTCCATGTAAATACGAAATATGATTGCCGAGGTACGGGAAGAATTTGGCTGTTTTAAGCACACGAATGATTAGTCATTGATGCAAATTTTGAAAGCCATTGATGTGAAAAATTACAAAAACAAAAAGGAAAATCTGCGCAGAACGTCTTGGTAATAAAAAATACAGAATGAAAAATTATGAATTACGAGGAATACAGAAAGCAGCAACTTTACAAAAAATTGATTTGTTTTTAAAAGTCGTCTAACGAGGAAATTAATAAAGCACTAAAAATACTTAGCTACATTAGCATTATTGTAGAATGATATTACATTGAATATCGAATATAATTTACAAATTATTATTACGACGTTACCTACTTAAGGTTTATAAATTTATGTAATATAAATTTAATTGAAAATCATTAATTATTGTTTTTTCTTTTTGTATTTCGTTAGGACCACAGCATTGTTAAACGCAATATAATATTTTATATCATACATAGTTAGACAAGAATTTTTTTAATCTTAAACAATTAAAATTCATACTTTGATAAGATTCTTTCTTAAGTTGTAGAATTTAATCTTTATAATTTATTACTTAACTAACGACTGAGATCTTAATTTTATTTTCATTTTAGTTAAAATTGTAATTTTACGAATTCATTCAACATTGAAAGAATAATAAATAATAAATTTAATAAAATTGCGTTACGTAATTTCAATAGGAATAAGCAAGTAAATCTTTTGGAAAATATTTTTTTAATAAAATTTTTTATGAAATGTGTATGTAAAGTCGAAGATCTTAGTTTCAAATGTTTCATTGTACAATATTAAAGCTACATATTACGGTTTAATTAATCCTTAAACCGTAAAAATGTTTGACCAAACCTTACCTCTTTACGAACTGCAGTATTTTGAAAATGACTTAAAACTAAATCCCAGCTTAACAATTACTCACGTGCGTAAATAAAATCTGAAAATATGTATTTAAGATAAAAGGGTAAAGTTTGTGATGTCTTATGAATGTGGAAGTCTGATAAAAACAATTTTGATAAAAAAAAAAATCTAGTGGAAAAAGTATTCCCATGCATGGGTAGCGATACCTTTGCGAAGTAAAAATATTGTCGTTATATTACAAATCTGCAATCATCTCTAATCAATAATTTAATGGGATGTAATAATTCAACCGAGGCACACTAACTCATTCGGAGCTCAAATATCAAAGAGATGAGAGATGAGAGATGAGAGATGAGAGATGAGAGTGAGAGTGAGATAAAAGGTGCTATTATAAGAAGGTATGAAAGAGAATCGCACCTGCGTGACGCCAGTCTCCAGACTCCCGTTTTGCTTGACGCCGCGATCGATAAGTCCGCCCATCACAGACTCGGCACTGCAGTCGAGGAGTCGTTGTCGGCATATAGCAATCGCTCGAACGAAGCCGTCCGATGGCGTCACGAAGCGGTGCTCCATGAAGATCGTCTTCTCGTCCCAATAGATTATCTGCGGAGAGCCAGGAAGTCATGTTAGCCGCTGCGCTTATTGCGCTCTATTGGAGTTTTCATTGGTCGCGCGACTCATTGCCTAATTTATGCCTAACTATGGGGAACGTTCCAATCGTTTGAATAAGCAACACATGTAACGGCCGCCTCAATTTATAATCTCCAGTTGCCAAACACATTGACTCATTAATTCCTTCGCTGACATTCCTATTTTATATAAACGTCTTTATTGATTAATTAACTCGCTGCAATAAAGATAAGGCTTATTTATAAAAATAACCACTATTACGTTAAAAGGCAGTAAATATTGTGAGCGCAATTTAGGCTTCCATCAATATACATTTTTTCATATCGATCTTAAGCAAGTGAGTAATAATGTCATAAATCATAATTGATTGATATTCTCTGCTAATGCATTTATTGCCGTTGTATAATACAATACAAAAAATGTAAGATTAAATTAGAAAAAAAATATTTTAATCAATCAACATTTATTTTTAAATAAAGAGAAATTGTATAAATTCTAAAATATAAGATGAATGTCATGGAAGTGATAAGATACATTTTGATACGTTAGTTTTGGTAAAGCATAGCTTTACTTACGAACTAATATCAAATATTTATTTAATATATAATAATTATAATATTATAACTTTTTTTTCTTCTGCACGGTAATGTAAATAAATACGAATATATCATTAAATACCGAATTTCTTTAAATAATCTATTTTATAATTGATTTATAACCAAAATTTCAATATACGTTACAAAAATCACAGTTTTCAAAAAGAATTATAAATATTAATATCTGAATTTTAATTCGATGGTAAATACCTGTTTTAGAAATTTTGATAAGCAAACGATATACAGATGTAAATATCAAAAGTATTTTATAATTACTTCATTAAAGGCTAGGCCTCGTATTCTAATTGTTCGATGTAATAAATTAAGAAAAATATTTATATTCATTGAATAGATTTATGATTTATCCAATATAAACAATTTATAGACATATTTCTTAATGTTCTGAATGTTATGAAAGCAGTATTTCATGCAATGATATTTCAAGTACTTTGACATGAGCTTTAATGGAAAAATCCCTCGATTGAGATGTAAAAATTCTTATTGTCCTGTTGAAAATGCTTATCCCAAATGAACATTATCTGAAAACTTATAGTACGTGAAGATATTCACTTAATTTAAATCCCGTCTAAAATAAATCGTATGCATAATCGTCTCTTTTTTTCGTTTTTTTTTTGCTTTTTTCTTTTTTCTTTTTACCGCTTAAAACGCGCGAGTGTACATGGCAGGCATACAGTACTCAAATCACAAATCAAAAAATAATTTGCAAATAATGGAGCTTATAAAGAATTTCTGAATTTTGTTCCTTGAAATATTTTAATATTTCAATTATATTCTACTACTTGGAAATCTAAGTATAATATATTCCCATTCTTAGTAGCATTAATCTTTATAAATATTTGAAAATTCTTTAAAAGTGTCGCTTTATATTAAAAGTTAACAAGCAATAATATTAGTCGTAAAATGAATTATTAAATATTTTACATGATACAAATAATAAATAATACCGCACTATTTATAGAGGTCGATGTACTATATAACACAGTAAATGTTTAAAATAGCGTTTAAAGAGTCAATATTTTTCGAGAATGTCGAACAAATAGTTCTAGTATTATTATTAATAGAGAATTGAGATTGACAATCCATCCCCATTGGTCGATTTTTGGGCACTTAAATTGAGGAAAAATTGAGCTGACTGTATAAATAGAGTAAATGGAAGAAGAAACGGGAAAGAACAAATGCTCTCCTACCTTTGATGTGATTTTGAAAATGGTAAGAGGCTTGAGAAACCTCCTGTAGCGTATTGTCGAAGCGCTTTGTACAACCCCGGTACCCTGCAAGCAAATCTCGCGGTAAAGATTCGTTCGCTCGTAAAAATCAGCACGAGCGAAATCAAGTTCGCGCAAATAGCGTGCGTTATTCATGTGATAGAGCAGCCAGTCGATGTCGGTCGTCGCGCAAAGACCTAAACAGAAAGCATCTACTATTGATATGTGTGTGTGTGTGTATATATATATATATATATATATACATGATTTCATGTATATTTCATGTAGAGAAATATTTTTATTTTTTTTATAACGATATGAAGAACAATATCTATCTAATGGGGATTATCCAGACATTGATAGATATTGGTTTTAACTCTCCTAATTACAATTTCACATTCGACCAATACACTTGACTTGTCACGAAAATTTGTCTATTAGTATTAATAATTCTAGGCCTTGTAATAAAAGTTGTTAAAAAAATTAATTAAATTATTTCAGAAACCGTATTTAAAAAAACTGAAATTCCAAAACGTTTATACTATACACCACTTTATTATCAGTTTTATTTTTATTATTTATATAAGCTATAATTCTTATAATTATCACTAATACTTCACATTCAAACTGTGGTTTATCCATATATTTATTATGAAATATGAATACAATCCGAATGATTTATATTAAATTGATATAAAATAATAGTTTTAAATTAAATATTTGTTCACGAACCAATGAAATGCGTTACTTTTTTTTTTTTTTTTTTTCAATAAAGAATAACCTTATGTATAAGCAGCGATAAAAAAATGCCAATTTATCGTTAAAGATTTATCGCATTTTATGATATTGTGTGAAAATATAAAATATTATAAAAGTAAAGCGACAAATACTTGTAATTACATTAAATTGAAAATCCAATGACTTTGTTTGTAAAATGACGTTCACATTTGATAAATATTATTATAAATAATAATCAGAATAAGTAAGTTGCTATCCGACAGATAATTAAATCAGATTATAGTTAGAATACTTTTCGACCTAAATAGATATTAATTTTTTTGATATGCAATATATTTTAATAGATGTATTTAAAACCTTATCTAAGCCTTTTTGTTTTCATAATTTGTAAATTTTTACTCAGGTAAAATACTAACAATTAGCGCGGATTAGCATGAAGATAAAACTCTTTTGAGGAATTCATTATTTTTCTACCGACATGTAAAAAAATACCAAAAACGTGCTTCTTTAATTTTATATCATTAAATATTCATTTGAACAATAGCTTTGTTAAAGAAAATGATCATATTATCAAAATAATATTGTCTATCAATTAATGAAACTTCGATTCAAATTCAACCTTTTAAAATATGTTGAATAAATAATATTTTTGACATATTAAACAGAAAATTTTTGTTAATTCGTTCAAATAATTCAAATAATTATTCAATGTCAGGAGCCATACACTGTCAAGGTTTTTTAAATGTGCGAAAATTTTTGCAGTTTTTACAAGTATATGATTAACAATGATTAAAAGAAAGTATTTGTTCCGCACAAGTATCATGAAAACATTAGACTCATTTTCTTTATCTAAGATATCTTCTTAAAAAAAATTTTGATTCCAATATATCCGATTGTTTTTTATAAATTTCAATACCACTGGCTATGCGATTAATCGAATCCATATTTTTAATTATCAAACTTTTTTTTTTGAAAACGATTACTATTCTTTCATTTGTTTTCATTTTTTTTTTTTTTTTCATTTTTCTTGCTTCTTGCAAAGTTAATAATGTAGCTCCTGTAATAGCTACACCGACAATTTTTATAATATTCTATTATTCTGACTTTAAGTTGATTTATTCGATAAATTCATTCCCTATTGAAGAATAATTAATTTAAATGATTTATAAAACTTTTCCATTTTAAGCAAAATTAATTAAATTAATATTTACAAAGAGATGTTAAAAGATAAAAATTTTTAAAAATAATATAAATAATGATAATATGAGTTGACGAAACAAATTTGATTAATGCTCATTTTACAATTATGCATATAAATAATTCATTCGTTTGTTGTGATAAAGTGAAGTTGTTTAGTAATATTGATAAAAATAATATTAAACCTCATTATCTTCGCAATCACAATAATAATAATTAAAATAATGAAAATAACACTTTTAATAAATACATTTAAACACGGTATAAATTAATTATCATAAAATTCGAGAAGCATAAAGAACATTAAATAATGTAATAGCAATTGATATTAGTATTTTAGAAAATGATATAAAATATAAAATTAACTTTTTATATTTTATAAGGAAGATATAAAATACACGAAGTGCCTGCGTATATATTTATTTTATTTATTTTTATTTGTTTAATAATAAATTATTAACTAGTTTATTATGCTTTGAGAGCTTATATATCCTTGTATTTGTCTATAATATCAAATTTATAAATTAAGGAACATAAATTGAGGTAAATATAAAAATATTTATTGAAGAAATTTTAGCGTAAAATCATCATAATTATAAGTTATTAATTAGAAGAATTATTATTTAGGCAAAGCATTCTTAACATTAATTCTACATACAATAAACATTTTTAAATCTATGGGCATAAAAAATATATTGAAATTCAAAAATCCGTATGACTTATAATAGTCAATTGAAACATTTCTTTAACGAAAAGTAGTTGACCGTGACAGTGGCTAATGCAATACTAGGAAATAAAGGCGAGGAGATGAGAACAACAATTGTCGTTGTAGGTGTCGTAGGTCGCGCGCACACTGGAAGCGAAAATCAATGAACCGCGCGCGCGATTCTCAACTGTTAGAAGTATGCGCGGCCTCTGTCAAGGTCGGCGGTTAAGCTCTCTGTTCTTGTAGGATTTTCCGGATTGCCGTCGACAGTAGCAAATGGAAATCCACAGATCAAATTGCAGTTACATGGACGACAAAGTTTCCTTATCGTTGTCATCTTGAGGCGTCGTCAATGTAAATGACAGACATTGCCGGCAGATGCATAGGAAGCTCTGATATTCCGATTATGAATAAGATGAAATTAAAAGAAAAAAAACGAGATTACTTAGAAGTGGAAAAATAAAATTAAAAATTACATTTATAAACTATCAAGACATCTCTTAGTTCATTTTTACTATTAATTCATAATATATATAATTTGATTTAGCGATCTTTAGATTTATATACTTATAGTATTCTTTTACTACAATTATGTATAAGAATAATCAAACACCGTACACATGCAAAAGGCAGTTTTTCTATTAAATTCATATTTATATTTTATTTTATTTGAAATTGCATTTCATTTTGTTATTATTTTCTTTCTATTGTGTGTGTGTGCGCGCGCGCGCGCATGCGTGTAGAAATTTTACATTGTCAAGAAACAAATATTAATTTGTAAAATTTCAAATTTATAAAATATGAATATACAATATTAACACACGCACTCGCACGCCCTCGCACACACGCACACAACGTATTAATATATATGCTAATATATATTAGCATTATTGTCACAAAAGAATAAGTATCATAACTTTTTATTTGTATCTGTTTAAGAAACAAGTTCTATCATTATATGTAATGAAACTGGCTTTAATTATATGAAATAACGTATAATTATATATTTTTAATATAAATGAAAATTAAAAAATAACAGTAAATCAAAAAAAATTTAACAAAACTAAAAGTTTGTCTACATAAATTTCTGCTTATTCGAATTGTACATCTGCACGACTGTAATGGAAATTCAATTAAATTTTTAATAATAAGATTTATAATAATTAAAGTACAAAAATATGGCTCTAATATATTGAAACAAAAATAATTATATTTTTACTATATTCTTTTACTTAAAGTTACTAATTAAAATTATAACTGATTAAATTATTTTAAAACAACATATTGATGAAATCAAAACTCGAATAAAAGAATTAATTAAATTTTTTAAATATATATTATTATCTATATATATATATTTCATATATTATATTTTATATTATTTATTATATTTATTTCATTTATTATATTATATTATATATATATATATATATATATATATATATATATATATATATATGGGTTATACAAATGTTTCACTCTCAATATTTAAAATTTAACAAATATAATCTATAATAAATATATTAAATAATATAAGTTAGTCCTTGATTGAAAGTATTTTTCTATATTGAATTTCTAATTATTTTTCAGTTAATCTAATATATGCTAATAAACATTAATCGTATCTATTAATTAAACTGCATAAAATAATAAAATCGATTTACTTACGATGATAGATACTATTGTAAGTATATTCGGAATGAAATTGGATAAAATCAATAAAGACAACAGTATATTTTAGTGTTTGCATCGAAGGTTATATCAAACACTTTAAAATAAATACGAAACTTCATTGGATTCTCTCGTTTATATAGAATAATAGTTTCACTCACTTATATTGCTTCTTCTAATAAAACAAATATTTTACTAATCATTATTTTAAAAATTCCTACCCACTTCATTAATAAAACGTTCAAATTAAAACCGCAATATACTAATGCAGCATGATATAAGGAAAGGTTCATCAAACAATTGATCTTATGGAGAATATGGAGAATAATAATACCGATTACACCGACGACGCCTCGTCTCAATTAGCAAACATTACATTCATAGCGTCCAGATAATGCACAGCAAGTCAGAAAAAGTGACAATGCACTCTATTCGCTCTATAAAGTCAGATTAAAATAGAGAAATTCGCAACAACATGAGATTGATAAGACTTACCGTATACCGACGTCTCATCCAATATGTGGACGCGTTTTCTGCAGAAACGTGCCAGAAAGACGGTCATGAACATGCGCAAAAAATAGTGGACCTCAAAGAGCGCGTGTAAAAGTACCAACACTCCGAGCACCCCAACTAGTACCCAGCACGTGATCATGATCCTTCGTCTTTCGATGGGGCTGGATTCAGCGTTGAATTACACTTCCTAGACCGTCTTTTCTTTCTTACAAGTCTACAAACAAGTTAATATCAAAATATGCTTTATCGTTCATAGCTGTGCATGGGTTATACAAATTGTTTTCATCTTAGAAACTCTAATAAATTCTAATAAATATAATAATGTAAATAGACGTAATAAACCGAAATCACATTGATTCAATAATTTTGAATACTGCACTTCGACATCTCTATCTACGGTATATTATCACAATAATGGGAAATATTATTTTTATAATTTTGTAAATGAAAAGATGAAGCAATAATTACATTATTGCATAAATGCTGTGTAATTAATTACAGAATTGTCAAGGAAGTTTTGATTTACACGGTAGATTCACATGCATGTGTCATATATATTTCTCAAGCCATTATAAATTATTGATTCCATCGTTCTATCAATTCTACAATTCTGTTAATTCTTTTCATAATACTATGAAAAAAACTTTTATTATTTCATAATGCAACACTATTATTTATTTATAATGTCGTCTTCAATGGAATTTTAAATATACTTACGCTTTTCGAATCATTTAATTTTTATAAAAATTACATGTATATTTAATAATAATTTTTTTATTGTATAAAATATGTTTTATATCATTTTGGATTTATTATAATTTGTTCACCTAAATATTTACAGGATGTTATTTCAGTTTTTAAGTCAAATTCAATACAGGTGTGTTCTATTTTATCACTCGATACACATGATAGAATTTTCAATATTATTTGATGAAAGTAGAGATGCTAAGAAAATATTAAAGTAATTAATATACATTGAAATATATATCTTAGTATTTTTATTAATAGAAATTTCTTAATTAAGTAATATTAAATAATTAATTACTAAATAATTGATAATTAATACACCTTATAACAGCGAAATATCTAATGGAAGATCAATTTCATCCTGAGATCTTATGTACTACTATTATTTTTTAGCAGAATTACGTTCATAAAACTTATTGAACTTTAGATAATATTTTTCTTTTTACAGATAATTGAATATTTGAATTAAGTGCAGATCCATTATTCGTAAGCTTTACAAAGAAATGGAATGCAAGATCAAAGTATCGTTAGTACATAGGTATTTTATAAAGAAATAATAAAACGTAAAATATTATTTCAACATATTGTAATTATTTATATTTAATAAACATACAAATATTTGAATTAGCAATATAGTAATATAAACTTTTATCTTTTAAATTTTATTTTATATTTACAATTTTAAAATAATATATATATATATATATATATATATATATATATATATATATATATATATATGCCTTTTACTTATTTGTTTATTTTGTGTGTGTGTGTGTGTGTGTGTGTGTGCGCGCGCGCGCGCGCGCGCGCTTATGCGTGTATAAAGCTGCTACCTAATTTATTTATTTATCAGAGAAAATAAAGACACTCCTTTATGGAAGGATAAGTTTTTATAAAAGCAACAACTAGAAGAGATTAAATCTGTCATAAAATGAAGATCAAAGCATTTACTTACACATAGAACAGCCCCTCTTCGTTAATCGAGCAATCAAATCGTTAATTTCAAAAGAACAATTTCCCTAAAATCTATTCTTTATACTTGATGTCGGCATCTGAACTCCCGAAAGCCAAGCGAAGTAAAAAACGCAATTGCTCCTCTTCATCGTGGTCGCCATACTTTTTGACGTAAGATTGCGGAAATTCGTCATTTTATGCATGCCCTCAAGCTTCTGTACTACTTTTCTCAGGAAAGCTCAAATTGTACGGAAGATGGGGTGAAGTAGGTTGACGAACTCGCTTTAATGACTCGCTTTAGACTTGGAAAACATTCTCTCGTTAGTACGCAGACTTCTTCTTCTCACTCGTGTTTGCTCCTCCGAGATTAGATATTAATCAGAACATATCCTTGTTCACCGGAGGAATTTAGTTTCATGTTTTTCGATTATAAGCAAGCGATCATAGAAGTCAAATTTTAGTAATTAAAATAGTTGAACGTGCAAGAAACAAAATCAATGAAAATTCAAATTATTTCATGAGTAATTTGGATAAAGAAGATGATAAGGATCATGCATAATTGAAATAGCTATAATATATGAAACATATAATATGTTAATGGATTTTCATTTATTACTAAATTTACTTAAATTTCTACGTTTTTAAATAACATTATTCAATTATCGCGTTGATCGAATTATTTTACTTATATTTTACACTAATTTCATAAATATCGTATTCTTTTAAATAAAACTTTCCTTTTAGCTTTAGTTAAAAATATCTCAGTAATAAATTTACTTTATTGGTCGTACAAAAGATATATTTCATTAGAATTAATAAGCAAATTAATTATAATAATCTAAAAGTCATGTGATTAAGAAAAGAAAAAAAAAAGTAATAATAAGTACTTATTTGAACATTGTAAAATAATATTATTATTACTCTTGAAAGTATACGGTTGATATGCAGTGGCATAAGTAACATTATTACGAACTTCATTAGATTATTAAATGTATTTTTTGTATTCATAAGGCACTTTTAAGCCAATTCATAATTTCAAGTATTCACATTTAAAGTAATTTAATACAATTCTGGTAATTAATATTTAAAGAGAGTAGTGAATATTTTTAAACACTATCTCAAATTTCTATGATTTACTACAACGTGGCAATTCATTTTAAGATTTATAATACGAAGTGTAATATATTCAAATACTTATAAAATCGATTAATAATAAATATATAGCATAATTATTTGTGGTAATATGTTTTTCAGTATTTGTAATAAGTTATACAAATTTGAGCTGAATTTTTTATGATACAAAATATTAGCTTAAACAGTATATATTTTCTTAACTCAATATATATTTTATTGAATTAATAATTATTAGCTTACGCTCTATTCAAGATATTTTTAAACATAATATGTAGATGCATCCGAATGTTTATAAATAGTAATAATAACTAGTATTGTGAAGCTGAATTTTAACTTGAAGATTCTATTATTTTAAAATCACATGAATTAAAATTTTATCTTTATTTTGATCTTCGTTCAACATTGAATTTTATTTAAAAGTGGTTTTGTTAAAATGTATTTAGATTATTATAACCGTTTGTAATTATTAAATGTTTCGTTATGTTTAATGATTTTTATATAATTGATAGATAATTAATTGCCAATGGATTATTAATAATGAATTTTTTGTCGTAGCTATCTTGAAGAATATTATATATTTTGTATAAAATATTTAGAAGAAGCGAATATAGAAATAATAGTTAAATTAAATTTTTGTAGACATTCTATTATATTTCTACGTACTATAACGAGCATTTGGAATAATTCAAAGCACAAGTATTACGAACATACAATATACTCCTTAATTTTGAATTCTTAAAATAACGAAAAAGTACGAAAACCAATATTATTATTTTCTTTTATTAAAATGACGCTAATATTTTTTATATAATAATAATTATTTTTATTAAAAAAAAAAAAATCATTAAAAATTCGTGATTGATATCGACAAAATCAATATTAATAGAAAATTAATTGATAATTAAAATTAATAATTAATTATTAATTATTTACAATTAATAGAAATCCAATTGAAAAGTATATAAAAAAAAAAAAAAAAAAAAAAAAAAAAAAAAAAAAAAAAAAAAAAAAAACCCTAAATTTTTTATACGTTTCAAAATATATATTTAAATAAACATTTCACAATTACGTTAAGTTTATGTTCATTTATAATTTATAGAAGTCTGTTTGAATATTTTTTTAACAGAATTGAACAAAATGTCTGAATTGTTTTCAAAAGAAACTTCACCATTTTTAATGCTGTAAAGTATTTAAATATAAAATAACCGATACGTATTTCACAATATCTGTGGATCCTGTAACTTTGGAGATATGAAAATTGTGTCGAAAACATAAAAGTTATATTTAGAACTTATCGATCGGAATATGTCTTATTTAATCCTCTTTAAAATGACATTATCACTACTTGTATCTAATTTAGATGTCGATGCAAAGTTACATTACACTATGATAAGATAATATCTATTAATAAGCCATCCATCAATAACTTTTACACTATTTTTTTTTTTTTCAAAATCTTTGTCTACTAAAAAAATGTCAGTATTACCTTCTTTATCCCTTTTCAGTTGTAAACAAACATGATTTAATTACAACAGATCTAAAACAAATAACTACCATGCGTATCTTTATTTTATACGAATTATTATTATATACATATACGATTGTACTCTGATTACAAAATAATATTTTGCACCAAATTATACGGGAGATAAAAGAATTTTTTGTTAATATTATTTAGCTCTCCTTGTAGACCAAGAGAAACAAAATTATAATATCCACAGTAATCTCGCATTGTTTTAGCAATTTGAAATATTCATTGGCCCACGCGCGAATTATGCGTCTGAGATGCAATGCCGCCTAGATTTACACATGCATGTAGAAATCGAAAAGAGTTCGCACTTAGAAATACCGGTTTTAGAGCGACATCGCTCTCATGCCATTATTTTCAGCGGCTACCTGTATGCGCAATACGCGACCTCTACGAAAAAAAGTAGGTACGCACTGCAGTGTCTTATTTGTTACATTTTTCCGCGTTGCAACTGCAACGAAATGACGTATGTATAGCCTCGTATAAAGTTGTGCGTCATTTCTAAGAGTGGTAATGTAGGAAGTTAAAACAAATTAACAAAAGGTAGGCAGCGTGGATCAACCCTCGGTTAGTTGGTAACTGGGTGAAGATAACCCGATCCACTTGACTAAACGGCCATTACATAAGATATATGAAATTCCGGCGTTAATGCATAAAATTAGTAATTAGTACTAATAATTACTACACATATAGCGTCTATTATTTTCGCAGATTTAAAAAAAAAAAAAAAAAAAAAATTACATTACATATATATATTTACCTATAAAGAATATAAACTATAAATTTGTTAATACGATAATTATTTTAATGTAAATAGGTGTATTATTATGTTAATTCTAATTAATAAAACGAATAAAATTAAATGTTTTTGTATAATAAACGTGTTACTTCAATTTACTTGCGTTTAAATTTAAATACAATGTTTAATAATAGGGAACATATTTATTAATTTATTGATTAAGGAATTATTGAAACGTAAAGTATAATTTTATTCCGTTGGAATTTAAAAATATCGGGATTATAATTATTTTGTCTTCAATTTTATATGAAAATTGTGAAATACTAGGCATATAAATCAATATTTTACATATACCAAGACATTTAAAATTTATAATTTTTATTGCTTATCATTCCAAAATTTTAAGACCAATTGTTAATTATTATATTTTTAATAATTATCGAAGTATAAGTGATGATAAGTTGAATATCATAAATGTTTCTCTAAAAGCTAATATTAAAAAATTGACTGCCGATTATTTCTTTACTTTATTAATAAAGCTTTTAAATACGTTCTATATATTATAAATATTAATAATTTATCAACTCATTGTTAATGTCATTTTATAAAAATGTATTTCTTTTGAATTTTAAGGGCTAATTCACAATATTTATAGTCAATACTTTCATAAGAAAATGTATTTGCTTCAAAGAATGTATTACTTTAATATGAATGAATATGTTCATTTACTATATGTACAAATAAATATGAAAGAGTGAAATATTTATAATAAATAAAAGAATTTTATATATATATATATATATATATATATATATATATATATATACGCAAGATTGAATATTAACGACCAAAAATCTAAATCAATACAAAATATAAAACTGGCACTTAAAAAATTTATAATGTAAATTAATTTATAATTAGTAAAATTAATAGAAGAAAATTTGACTCTGTATTAATTACACTGTTTTTTACAATATTTAAAAATGCTTAATAATTTCAACTGATTTAGCATACTAAAATCTTTTATATAAAGTATTTAAAAATAAAAAAAAAAACAGCGTTTAAATACTTCATAAAATCATAAATTATAATAAAATATTCGTGTTTATATTAGTAACAATTTGAATGAGTGTTGAATTATTTATAATTTTTCTAATATGCGCGTCATTATTATAATAACAAAGAAAAATCTCTTAAAAAAAAAAAAAAAAAGTTGTTATAATAAATAATATAGTAAATAAAAATAAAATCAATGAAAGGAAAAATGTCTAACGCTGTAGTGTAATAAAATAGTTTAGTGCTAATGAAATCCAGAGTATTCATTAAGTAAACGAATGAATAGTCAAAACAATAGTTCTATAATTTACCTTATGGTAAATTACAATTAATTTTTTATTGTCAGTTATCGCTTATTGAAAGGAGTACAAAATCATTCATTATAAGAATGAGAATAGATTTCAAATTCAAGATTTTGAGAAAGTTAATGAAACGCTAATAATGGCAACGACGATTCTTTTCTATATTATATGGTCTTATGTAGACGTTATTGCAAACAATGTCTTCTCTGATTAATAAAAAAGAACGAGTACAAGGACCAAACAATAAGACTCTCATTTTTGTTTTGTATGTATCCATCCGAGTGGCTTAGATATATAAAAATTTAGTTTATTGATAATGAAAATGTGACAATACAGGAATTCAAATGACAGCCGAAGCAAAATTTTGCAACGATTGCATTAATGCATGTGTAGCCTTCGTTATTAGTAAATGCTCAATAACGACAAATTATTTCAATCAAAACGAATAATAATCATTGGATTAAATCGACCGATGCCTCTCATACAATTCAGCTCGTCAAGTAATAAATAAATTTGCATTCTGTATATCCTTATATTTATGGATTAAAGCACGAAAAGGCTACTTCTCCAAGCGATATTTACTATAAAACAAAAAATTGGAGGGGGGGGGGGTAGGGGTAGGGGAAAGGGATAATGGCATATAAATATTAGACTAAGTCCAAAGCAAAGCGCTAAATAGACAGGATTTGGAGATTTTGAGCCAAGTCAATCGACTTGCTCATCGATCTTCGAACTCACCAACTCTTCCACGCAAGACTCCCTATGGCTCATCTCATTCGGACTTCAAGGGGTTCAATTTCCGCTTCCAATCGGCAATGAAGAAAGATCGATCCGCGGTATTTTATTCCGACACACACGGAGGTTATACACTATAACCTACCCGATAATAACGAAACCGCGTCAACGGCGCCTCCACACATCCGATCGATCCGCCGTTCACGGGTGGGCTATGGGCCACTTTTTTTTAAACGGCGAGGAAAAACAAAAAAGGAAAGAGGAAAATGAAGCCAGAGGAGGAACTAAAGTAGCTGCGCTTTCGTTTTCACCGGCCTCGCCGCCACACGACTGAGTCTTTTCTCGGACTGCGACGTCTCGCTTCGAGCAGCGCGACACATCGATGCGCGCGCCCCAGTGCACGAGGACGCAAGCGCAAAAGGATACGCGAGCTTCCCGGGTGGAGGCTCGTCGACTCCTCAGCGGCTAGTAGCGCCTGAACGTTCGGTTTTCCAAATTCGGGGGCTCATGTTTCCCAGCATTATTATCTCAAAGAGCTATCGCCAAGAGAGACACATATCCGAACAATTGTTTCTAAGCTTTTTTTTCCTTCCCTATCAGCAGCAGCTTATTATCAGTTGCCATAGTCACCATTTAGAGAGCAATCATTAATTACCATATTAATATTCACGATCTCGTTACATTGTAACTATAATTCTCGCGATTAACAAATACTTATGTTTTAATTGGTTATAATATCTACATGCTACTTGCACTATTATTATTCTCAATAGTGATATCTATTTTAATAGTGACACTCATTTTATGTAAAATTATCATTTACTTGTTAAGCTCGATTGATTATTGATATTTATTCTTTATACAGTCTGTCTATTCTCCTGTCAATATATTGAAAGAGGGCGGATGTAGACCGATAGAGAAAGAGAGAGAGAGAGTGAGAGAGAGTGAGAGAAATTAAATTAATATTTAAAATATATTAAAGAAAGGTTAACCTTATCCGTAATATAAATATTACTCGTTAGTTATTCACTATAAATACGGTTTTATTAAAATTATTTACTTTCTGATATAATATATTTTTATCGTTTAACACGTTTAACACGCGTAGTTGGAGTCTAATAAGATTCCTTTGTTTTAACATAATTTGAAGCAACAATTACAGAATACCGTTTTATAAAAAAAAATTATTTTTTAAACTTTTCAAATTTTACAATTCAAATGCATTGTAAACAATAATTTACAGAAACTTTATTTATTTATAGATAATAGTCAATTGGAAAATCATAATATGAAAGTTATCTATATCTGCAAGCAAAAAATTTATACTTATTAATTAGTTAACAATTAAAACTGTTTAGATTTTTTAACATATTTTAATTATGTATTAATTCATTGAAGCCGTATGTTGAAGTTACCTTATAGAAGAAATAATATTCAAAGTAAAAGTTTCGTTTTATAATGATAAAAATGCTTCCATTTTATATTTTATGTTTACTTTATAGAAAATACTTCGTACAAAATATATCTTTGTTAGTATTACGCTCTTCAGTATTTAAACGTAAATTATTTATATATTTTAGTTATACTCATTGATTTGCGTTGCATATAGAAATATTTAAAAATTTATTTATATTCTATAAATAGAAATTAGCGAATAAAATTTTTTTTTCAAATTTGATTGTTTGTTTCACGTAAATGCATCATTTACATTAATTGATATTTTTAATTAATTGATCACAAAATTATAGCACATAATATTATAGAATACATCATAATAATTGATTTTTTTCATTAACACATTATGAATATTAAACGCTAATAGTATTAAATTACGTTAATGTTTTATCCAAATTCATATATATATAAATAAAGTAAATTTATCTTTATTAAAACATTAGCAATTACCAAATTCTACATTTGTTTAAATTTACAATAATTTAGATTTCTTTATTATCTCTTTTGAGTGGATTAGATAATATATATAAAAGTTATATTCCTAATATTATTTTATAATTAACAATTTTATAAAAAATTTTATTTATATGTATTTAAACAATAGATATACTTAATTTATTATTAAATTATTTAAAAAAAAAAAAAAAAAAAAAAAACTATATCAAGAAATATAATATTAAAATGATTAATTTAAATGTAATTGAATTTGTTTTTATATTTTATTTTCAAATATTATGATATTTTACTTACGTAGTTTAATTTCGAAATTACTTGAATGTATAATGGAGATTTTTTATTCTTTTTTTTTTTTACACTGTATATTAATAAATTATCAATTACGTTTTAATTAATAATTAACATTTGAAACAAATCGACACAGATTGAAGCCAATGTATCACTGCAAATTTGAAACCTACAACATACCATAAATTTGTATAAAAAATAAATGTTTATATTTTTCAAATAATTTAATGGTAATCATTGAAATTAAAAGCTGAATTTATATAAATAAGTTTATGTTTATTATTCAAAGTAATATTTAGCGATTATTTTTAAAGCATAAGTCAGGAAACTATTGAACGAAAATTTTCTATAAAATTAGTTGTACTACAACTATGGAAATTCTAAATTAAAGAACTAATTTTTGCAAGCTTGTAAAAAAGATATGTTAGCCAATTTCATGATGTAATTAGTAAAAATTTATTTACTCTTTCCATCGCTCTTACTCTGTCCTTCCATTTCTCTCACCCTTGTACACTAATTTATCTATTTTTTTCTATTATTAGATAAATAAAATAATAATCAACATAATTATTATAAAAATGATTACGATAACAAATATATAGTAAATTTATTGCGATAAAATTCTAAACGTAAGTATGCCCAAGAGAATAGTCGCGAATGACTACGTAATTGACATAAGCGTCATCATTATTACAAGAAATGTTAAAGTTGCTGGGATACGGCTCAATTAGGTCATGTATCGGATCAATTTCTAGATAGAGGTCCGTCCACCAATTGAAAGTATTCAGAATAAAAATGATAATAGTGTTGGGCACAGTGGTCGTACTGATATTCGGCCAGGAAACAAGCTTAGAGGAACCCAGGAAAAAACCGGGGATCAAACATTCTGCTTTTCTATCGCGTTTCTGTGTTAGCGCCTGAATTAATTGCTTTAGATTGAATTTTATTTCACTTTTACGTTCGCTTGACGTTTCTATGAGACTACAATTTCATTCTAAACTTCTCTAGATTCTTTATAAAAATCAAGGTCTTATGTAGAATATTTCCCGATTTATACTACTTCTTATAGCGCGGTTAACCTGTAGATCTTTCAACTTCAAAACTTATTAACTAACACCAAAGTAATAAACGAAAATACAAATATTTACAGTTTAATTCAATTTATTGTTGTTAAAAAAAAAAAAAAAAAAAAAAAAAAAAATATATATATATATATATATATATATATATATATATTGTTAATATATGTTTAATATCTTTTAATATTTAAGTTCACCGTAGCCAACACTTTTCTTACAACGAATTTTCTACGTGGAGTTTACATTTATTTTATAGCAATGTTTATTATATTTTAGTTAATATTTAATTAAATTTTATGGTTTTTCAAACACTTTTATCAGTACTATTATGCAAGAAAATAATAATATTAGATGACATGACGCAGTAACATCGCATATAAAACAATTTTAAATTCAAAATTTTTTTCCAAATTTTTTAGAATTACGGTCAACTAATTTATATAATTTTAATGTAAGCGATCGATAACTTATTTCCGAACTAATATTTTATGCACCTATATTTACTTTTATCGTTAAGAAGATATTAATTATTATATATCACTCAGTTAGAAATATTAAAGACATACAAAATTACACTAAAGCAATACATTTGTGAAATTACTTTATTAAAATTAACATATCAATGTGTTTATTATAAATGGAATATTCTGTTGGAATTATTTAATAAATCATATCAAGTGATATAGATGTAGATAATAATCGAGTAAATTATATACTATGTGAGCTTACTGGACTGAATAAAATGAATGAATAAAAAGCAGATTTATTGAAATTTTCAATCATTTTCATTCATAGTTTTCAAATAAAATAATGATATGCAATTTTATAAATTTTATTTAAACTTAATTATACAACATAATTCATATTTCACAAGAAATTATAAATTGACTATTTAATAGTTTATAAAATACATTTTATATAACGCATTATTGGATGCTAATTACGATTCATTTATAGAGTATTAAATATAAAATTATTTAGAAAGAAATTGTGTAAAAAAGTCTTTAATGTCATTGGATTCAGTATTAATCCGTTTTCTGATCGATTCAGTACTAACTACAAAATTTGGGTCACTTGTAAAGAAAGGATTGTCATCTGGTTCATACTTAGTCAACGGTACATCATAAGGTAGCAAAAATACTGGTATTTCCAAAGAGTTAGTTTCTTTTATTGGAAAACTTGTTTGTTTGATCTATGAATGAAATTTAAGCAATATATTTACTGATAGTAGAATATTTTATTTTTTTGATAATGCTAAATAAACAGTGTTTACTGATGATGCGTAATATTAATAAAAATTTAATACGCTTCATTAGCAATATTAATTATCGTAATTAATGTCAACATTATAAGATTAGTAAAACTCATATTACAGAATGCTACAGAAATTTGGAAATAATGTTTGTTTTACTTACTACTATTTTGGGGAGAAACAAAACCCCTGCTTCGTAATTACTTATCTTTAAACCTCTTTCGTTGTCTAGCAATTTACCCCAACTACTTTTAGTCAGATTGCAACTCGTTAAGAGAAACCAAGATATTTCAGTTTCATCGGGTGAAATTCTAGTATAACATCTTAATTGAGGCATGGCAAGCGATCTACATGTCTTTTCCGATTTCCACTGACTATTGATAAAAATTAATTACACCATCTTTAATTTCATCATAAAAATATACTCTATATTAAATGTTAAATAATATAAGTAATAAAAATCAAAGGATTTTAACAGGTGTCTATTTTAAAATACTAAATTTGATTGAATGCAATATGATTATTCTACTAGCATAAGGATAAAAATTAAATTAGTGCGTCGACTTTGTTAAACCATTTTTTCATAGGACTATAATACATCCGGGCATAGATGATATATATTTTTAAAAAAGTTACTTATATTATACCTACTACATATAATCGCTCATCCAGAGTTCTTGTAAATATGTATCTTTGCAATGAAATAGCTTTGTATTTGACTTGTCGTAGATGCTCTCATTAACATTCTTTTGTGATGGATAAATAATTTTAATATCCGGTTTAATATCCGATGAATTCTTTTCGTTAGACATAGCTTTAACGATATTTGCTAACCAATAATCATAATTGTTGCCATAAACTCCTAGGCACGAAGAATGAGCGATAATTGGCCAATTTTGGGAGTTAGGCGAGGTAGTAACATGATTCGCTAATACCGTTTCCAATTTATTATAGCCCCATTTATTCAAAGATAAATTATCGTGATATCCGGGAACAGAGGCTATAAAAGCAACATTTATAGCAGAGCAATCGGCTCTTTGAACTAGAGCTATCCATCCAAATACTTCGGGCTGCTCGTATTGGCTTAAATAATCTATGAAATCGTTCTTAAAATTTGTAATCGATTCCCCATCACTGGGGTCTGTAATGTCTGGGAGAAGCGGTAATAAAGGTGATACCCAAATTCTGATCATACATAAATTTGGATTAATCGATTAAATATTGATTCGATAGAGAAAAAAAAAGCATGCGCATAAATCTTATTTACCCTTGTGTTTGAGATTTCCATTGAATGTGCCTCATATCGGCATTAGAGACGATAATTCTTATTTTATCGTTATAATACTTAAGAATTGATACTTTTGAATTGTGGAATCGATAGGAGGATCCCTCCATAACCGTAAGAATGATATCAAACGGAAGTTCATATTCTATTTGAAAATCGACGCATGCATCACAAATTATTGTCATTTTTGGATCTTGAGCAGCAAGCATGTACTCGGTGACGATCCATGACAGTTCTACATCGTTGCATAGATGTAAGCTATCCACTATTTCTCCCAATGTATAATCTATTATTTCGTGAAAAGATACGGAAAATATCTGACTGTGCGTATCTTGCAAAACGTTAATCAGGGTTAAAAAATAATGATAAGGAGAAGATGAAGCAAATTTAGAGCTAAAGGAACCATGATCCGCGACTATAATGTTTTCTTTGCGCAAAGCTTCCGCGATGCTAATGCAAACGTCTCTCATTTTTGCTCTATATTCTGAAGTCTCTAAATTTGCATAGAGCATCATCCATGTAGATATTTTCATTTCTAAAGTATCTTTATGAGGATTATCTCTGTTCTCTTCCGAGTTATCATTTCTAATGATTCTTATATCTTCCAGACTACTTATTTCATTATTCATTTTAAAAAAAAAAAAAATATATATATATATACATATATATATATATATATATATATATATATGTATGTATATATATATATATATATATATTTCTTTTTATTAGAAATATTATAATAATATAAGGTCACTGGAAAAGAGATGATTTGAGAAAATGAAGCGAAAAAAATATCTTTGACGAATACACACTGATTAACATTTGAGGTTAAACTAGCCTCTTCCCTTTAATTACTTTGCCCTATCCCGTTCGGCACTGCAGTTTATAAGGAGAATTTAGCTGCCGTTAACGCATGCGCAGTACCCATCTTACGCAATTTATGCTCATAAACACATGCAAAATAAGCTCAGGAAAAAAGAAATTGATTCTCCTTTTTTCCCCATTTTATAAACTATAAATAAGATATCGTTAAATTCTTAACGGTATTAATAGAATCTTTCTTTTTATTTGTAGGGGTTTATGAATATAAAAGTCCTTATACATTGTTATGCTTTTTTTTTTTTTTTTTTTTTTTTTTTTTTTTTTTTTTTTTTTTTTTTTTTTTTTATTATATAACAAATTCGTATAATATTTTGGTTATTAAATTATTTTAAAAATATTTAATATATGCCGTCGTAGCTCGAAGAAATTCATGATATAATTTCCTAGAAATAATCTCTTTCGTAATATGCTCATTAAATTCTGTTTCAATGATAACTTTACATTTCGTTGAAAAGCCCTAAACCCATTTTCAAATGTAATTTTCATATTACAAATATAATTAAATGTTACCCTAAGCTAACTATTAATTAGAGTATTAATGAAGGATAGACGGATTATGTCTTCTATATTTTGATTTGTACATTTTCTATTTTACTATAAGCCATACATACAAGAAGCCTTCCACATCAATTTAAAAAATTTAATTACACGATCTTTAATAACTATATAAATGAAAAATATATTAGATATATTAAATTCATTGGCGCATTAATATCGATAAAAATGACGTTTATTAATTGTATGAAAGTTACAATGATTAAATATTTATTTAACGATAAATATATAACAATAGTAATGTCCTTGAGATTTTTAATTTTAATGAACAGTGATGGTTAGTGAAGTGAGTTTTAAATATTGATTTAAGTTTTTATTGTATTATGCTAAAAAGCAATATTGTTAAGATAATTAGACTACGACATACGACGCTTATTAAAGTAATAACAATTTTACCTTATTATTTTAACAGATATCATAGCATAATGTAATGCATAAATTGCATAAAATAATCTAGTGGCGAGTTTTGAAGAAGAATTAAAATTAAATAATTTGTACATAATTTATCTATATCTAAGTGTTAGAAATTTAAAAGAACTTATGGTTAAAAATTTTCATAATTTGATTCTGCCAAAGCTTCAAAGTTCATAAATTCATTCCGTTTAAAAACAATCTTATAAAAAGTTATATCTCCTTTCTATTACATCAGCTTCCGCTGGTCCAGTTGAACCATATCTGAAAATTACATTATATTTGTGAGTAAATAAAAAGTCATAATTGTAATATAATATGTTATCGAAATTGTATGGGTTAATTTACATTTATCCGCTCGTTACGAATAATATATTTAATTAGTAACATTTAGTCTCAGTGTTTTTCACTTTCATAATTTCATCGTAATATTTTGTATTTTGTTAAATAAAAAGAAAGAGCACTTCAGATCCGATAATGTATAATCGATTAAACAATGAAATTAATGTTATTGGATTAGAGATAGTGCGTTTCCTTACTTGTACTGAATTGGCCGAATCTTTTTGTTTTCAATTTGATGTAATATGGGAGTAAAAATCCTCCAGGCCTCCTTCAGTTCATCAGTACGAACAAAATATTTTTGCGAGCCAGAAAATACATCCAATAGCAGATTGGAATAAGCTTGAGGAATATCTTTATTCTGCAATTTTTAAATTTAAATAAATTAAAAATGCAAATGCAAATTTATTATTTTTTTTCATTCGTGTGTTAATGAAATACGTTATGTAGAACTTTAAAAAAGTATTCACAAGACATTCTTAGTACTCTGTTATGTTCAAAATTTTTTTTTTTTTTTTTTTTTTTTTTTTTTTTTATTAAAGAGCAAATTAAGTTTTGAAAAAATTCACAAAAACATCTTTATTCCAAAGAATGTATAAGATAAAATATTTTTATAAATCTTACCTTAAATTCTTTACTGTAATCAAAATTAATTTCTATTTTTTCAAGATTGCTCGACATTCCGGGAGTTTTTGACATAATTTTCAGTTGCATCTTATTATTCCTTACTATTTGTATGACTAATTCGTTTCTCGATAGTTGTCCATTGAAAATGTCGTTAGTGACATTTTTATATTGAATTATTATTTCAGTTACATTTTTAGCCAATCCTTAAAAATTTACTTAATTATTGTTTGATACATGCAACCATTAAGTATTTCAAATTATAATTTAGACCATTGAAAATTCATTTTTTCAATAAATAATGAAATATTATCTATATTACTATATCATTGTATTGAATGTTATTTCAATTTTCCTATTTGTTAAAAGAAACAAAGAAATTGCTTTATTAAGCATAAAGACTTAAAAAAATGATTTTTTTTTTCAATCGAATCTTATTTTTCCCGTTATATAAATAAAATAGATTATAGCAAATTGAAATTCAAATACAAACATATAACCATACCTTCTTATTTATTGTAATTTTGGATAAACTATCATGAAGATAAAATGCCATTAATAACTATCATATATATAAAATATCTTTTTTTTTTTTTTTTTTTTTTTTTATATAACTTTATATGTATTATACAATTATTATATTATAAATATTATACATAAAATATTATAAATAATGATTAATCATTGTAATAATGATTAATAATAATTATTAGTGCTAGATGTGTACTAGTATATAATAATTTTAGTGATTTAAAAATTTACTTAAATAAAGCTAAGTACAAAAATTTTTTCCTACGTAATTTATATTACATAAGAGTAGTGTCGGCATTGATAAACTAAAATTGTATTTGGATATTGTTGTCTACGAGTTTTCATTTTCACAATGAAAGTACAGGTCACGCTTTCATATAAATATACAAAATATTTACAACACAAAATATTTGCAAATAAATCGTTAATTAAATTGAATCGTTGAGATTAGAAAGAGTATTATCAGTTAGTGCTAACCTTTTCCAGCTCTGATTATGAAAGGCACCCCCGACCATCGTTCATTTCTCACCTTCAACACGGTTAGAGAGAAGGTCGATGTTATAGAACCTTGGGGCACAGATGGATCATCCAAATAACCTAATCTTTCGCGAGGATCGTTCGAGCTTGGATTGCCGACATATTGCCCGATAACAACGTCTTTCAAAAGTATTGGATCTACTTTCTTCAAAAACTCCACCTTTGCATCCCTGCGAATATTAAATAATAAAAAATTTAACGCTATTAGTCGAAGTTAATGATTCATTATTATTGCATTGATAAAATAGATGGAACATTTACCTAACGTCAGTCGAATGAACAGATTTGGGCCGCTCTATGGCCAGGAGCGAAACAACTTGCAACAGGTGATTCTGCACAACGTCCCTGATCATTCCATATTTGTCGAAATAGGCGCCTCTACCCTCGACGCCAAAGTTTTCTTTAAAGTCGATCTTAACCGCGGCAATATGTTTATGGTTCCAAGTTGGCTCGAAGATTTTATTGGCAAATCTCAGAGCGAGGAGGTTCTGGTTCATCTCTATACCAAGAAAGTGATCCATACGGTAAATTTGTTCCTCCATGAAAAGTGAACTCAAGTGATCGGAGAGCATTTGCGAACTTTTAGAGTCCTTGCCGAAAGGCTTTTCCACGACTATTCTTGTTATTCCCCTGGATGACAAAATAACGCACATATTGGTATTGGATTTTATATTAAAAAAGAAAAAAAAAAAAAACAAAAACAAAAACGAAAATAAAAAGAAAAACAAAAACAAAAACGAAAATAAAAAGAAAAACAAAAACAAAAACGAAAATAAAAAGAAAAACAAAAACAAAAACGAAAATAAAAAGAAAAACAAAAACAAAAACGAAAATAAAAAGAAAAACAAAAACAAAAACGAAAATAAAAAGAAAAACAAAAACAAAAACGAAAATAAAAAGAAAAACAAAAACAAAAACGAAAATAAAAAGAAAAACAAAAACAAAAACGAAAATAAAAAGAAAAACAAAAACAAAAACGAAAATAAAAAGAAAAACAAAAACAAAAACGAAAATAAAAAGAAAAACAAAAACAAAAACGAAAATAAAAAGAAAAACAAAAACAAAAACGAAAATAAAAAGAAAAACAAAAACAAAAACGAAAATAAAAAGAAAAACAAAAACAAAAACGAAAATAAAAAGAAAAACAAAAACAAAAACGAAAATAAAAAGAAAAACAAAAACAAAAACGAAAATAAAAAGAAAAACAAAAACAAAAACGAAAATAAAAAGAAAAACAAAAACAAAAACGAAAATAAAAAGAAAAACAAAAACAAAAACGAAAATAAAAAGAAAAACAAAAACAAAAACGAAAATAAAAAGAAAAACAAAAACAAAAACGAAAATAAAAAGAAAAACAAAAACAAAAACGAAAATAAAAAGAAAAACAAAAACAAAAACGAAAATAAAAAGAAAAACAAAAACAAAAACGAAAATAAAAAGAAAAACAAAAACAAAAACGAAAATAAAAAGAAAAACAAAAACAAAAACGAAAATAAAAAGAAAAACAAAAACAAAAACGAAAATAAAAACAAAACAAAAAATTATTAAAAAAAGCTGCCTTTTTATATTAATCATTTTATGGAAGATACTTACTTTGGAGACATGCAGGCTCTTTTAATTTGCGAAGCTGCCATCGCGAATACGGACGGTGGGATTGCCATGTAGAATATTCGATTGCCCTTGTCATTGTTCTCCCATTTCTCAATTTGCTTATTGATCCTATCGTAATCCAAATCGTTATTTTTCGAGCCTTGAATATAATAATTTATCCTCCAGAATTTATTGTACAATTCCGTATCCTCGGGTCGAATATTAACGAATGGGGCGACATTGGCTTTTAGACTATCGATGCTGGTTGGTATAGGCGAAAAGCCCAAAATCTTCAGTTTTGGTGGTAGGAATCCATGTTGGTACAAATACCACAGCGCTGGATAGATTTCACGCTTTGATAAATCTCCCTATAATGATCAAAATAACATTGCTGCTTCAATTATATTTTATTATGATTCATTCTTTTCTCAATGATTTTATTCTCTTATATTGTAATTAATGTATCCAGTAAACATAATACAAGATTTTTTAAAAATCTTGTTAAAATTCATTTATAATCAAATTAAAATTTCTATTTAGAATTATAGAAATAATTTTAACACAAGATTATTTGAAAATATTAATAATAAGTTATAAAAATAAAATAAATAATATTTATCAGCCATATTAAATATATTTTATTCATATTTTATTAAACAGGAATAAAAATTCAATTGGTAAAATTAATTTTATAATTATGAAATTACGTAGAAATAACGGTATTTAAGAAAATATTTCATCACTTTTAGACGTTCCATTAATGAAATATAATTATATTTATTGTAATTATCTACTTCCGTGTATATTGATTTTGCTATTTGCTTTATAATTTTCTTATCTGGAGGGAATAATTATGAAATCTAAATCAATTAATATTGGTAAAAAAGTATTTGTGATATTCAACAATTAATATACGTATTAAAAGAAAACCAAAATAGAATTATAATTATATACACAATATTAAAATATGTATAATCAAATAATGAAGTATTTACAATATTTTCAATTAAAATCATAAATACAATATTGATTTAATGTTATTGTATACAAATGATTATGAGCTTAGCCATTGGCAGCATAATGTAATTGAATTTTTAAATAACTTTTTTTTACATTTCCTTCACTCTTCTTTAAAAATTATGTAAAAATTATAATTATTTGTAAAAACTGTTTAATACCATATATTATATTCATTACAGTTTACTAATTATATTAAATAATTATTATTATTTAGTAAGTTTACCTGGCTAATTTTAATTTAATTATTATTTAATTTTAGGGAAATGATTTGTACAAAATATACTATTATTACTTACTATATATCAATTATCATAGAAATAATATATATATATATATATATATATATATATATATATATATATATGTATATATATATTTATATATTATTTAATTCTTCAATTTTAGATATTCAATTAGATAATGTATTCAACTGTATTTATAGTTTTAAAAAATCCATCTTATTGCTTTCATTAGAAGCAATGAAATTAATTTGATTATTAAAAGAAATGCATACTTTGATATAATACTTCATGCATGCATGTTAATTTGTTTGAAATGAAATATAATTCAATGTAACGAGTAATAAATTTTCAGAAGCTTAGAAATTTAAAAATGTTCTTTAATTCTTCGTATAAAGCATTTATATATTTAAACGTCTGTCTTTCCAAGTGACGTTTCTCAGTTAAATATTTACCTAATTACATGTTTTTCATTTAGTCCACATAAAATATCAAAAAATATCTAAAACAAAATGATCTTTAATTGGACATAAAAATTTAAAAATAAAAACAATTTGCTTTAAAATTTGATTATCAATTTTTCTTAAAAGTAATAATCTAATTTTCTAGAACTTATAAGGATTATATTGTATAGGAATGAGATTTATGGGAATAAGTATTTTATGTTACCAATGAAAAGCGTTTATGTGCAGTTTCAAATTTCTTTATAATTTTTAATATATTTTGAATTTTCGTGTTGTATTAAGAATATAAATTTAATAGAAAAAAAATTTTTTATTCGAAATTCTAAATCTATGCATTGCTTGTTACGTTTATTATTTCTATTTAATTTTTAATAATTTAATTTAATTTCTGTAACCTTTGTCTCTATTTACTTTTAAAGATTGAAAAGTAATATTATTATATTAATGTACTACTTACCGTAGCTCCAAGAAGAACAAATGTATAAGGTTTTTTACATTCAGAGAGAACTTTATTTATGTCATTCGCATAAGTCTTTATAACTAAAATTGCTGTTTAGACAAATAAATATTTTTAATAGCTTATTTATGTAATTAGAAAATTGTAAATAATATTATGAAGATGAGAAATGATATATTGGTAAGATTTTCATTAAATGCCTTGCAACAATAATTTAAGTAATGAAATATTGATATACTTGCAGATTTATTATGATTTTTCATGAAATAATTACTTTTAACAAAAAATATTTAATCTTAACAGTTATCATTATTGTATTTCAGGACTAATTTGGTAATTATTAAGTTATTAAATTAGAATGTAGTATAGTTTATATATAATTTTGCTAACAAAGTCAACAATATATATATATCATCATTTATGTATTAGGAATTTTGAAAATGGCTAAAAAGAAATGTAAGTTACCTAATATTAGATTGAAATACATTAAATATTTCCTCATGATTCCGCTTAAAGAAGTGTTGCACTGGAATGGATGAAATAACAACTAGAAGAAAATCTTGGTAGTCCTCATTTATACGAAAGAGAAATAAATAATTCTTTTGCCAAATAAAACCATAATTTTACATGATAACACATATTCTCATTCATACATTAAAAATCAATTTTATCAGGAAAGGACTTATTTAATTTATAAAACGTGTTATTTAAATTGATAACATATAATCTCATGAATACAAATAATATGTAATACACGATTGTCTTTTTTATTATATTATGTATTTAAAGAATGCTAATACAATATATTTTTGTGTATTTTTCTTTTGTTTTTAATGTCTGGGCTTAAGCATTCTGACTGTACATAATAAATTTACATTATTTTATATAATAAATATATTACTCGAATAAAAAAATGTTGAAATACTATTATATTATTTTAAATATCTCCATCTAAATTAACTAAAATGAAATTAAATACAAACTGCTTATAAATAGAGAAGATAATAAACTTTTCATTTTAAATTACATTTCCCTGATATAAACTTGGTATTGCTTTACTACGATAGTAACACAAATTATTTTCAATTTTTTTTATTAGCTTTACCGAAGATTTTAATGATTCATATCATTGTAGAATAAAAAAAAAAAAAAAAAAAAGAAGTTTTTTCTGCTTAAATATTAGAACATCGCTTAAGCAATAAATTATTTTATACTTTGCATCAAAATTTTGTTTTATAATTTTATAGAATAGTCGAATACTAAACAGCGAAGTGTTATCGAGTGAAATTCAGTTTGGCTATCTCCTGCACTTCGTCGTATTTATCACGATCGTCAAATAATAATATTTAATAAAAACTTTTGGATAACATTATACATTATTTAGAAATAATTAAGTACCACGAGTAAATCCAAGTAATTTTTCACTATCGAGGAGCTGTGCCAATGGTACAATGTAGTTCAGCTGGTTTTTGGTCGGATGAGTACAAGCAGAGAGTAGAATTTTGATGGCGTTCATGTATTTATTTTCTAATTTATTGAGTTACTACTTATTATTGCTACTATTTATTGATTAAATTTATGCCCTTCTTTCTTTCCATTATCAATTAATCCCTTTGTCTAGCGCACTCGCGTTTCCTCATTTGCATAAAACTGAGTTGAAGAAGCCGGCAACCAGTTACCACTAGTTTGTTAAACTGAGTTGAACCATAGCAAAAAATAATAGTCTGCAAGATTCGAATTCAAATAAAACACTGGGAAAACATTACCAGGGCAATGCATCTGCACTTCTAACGACTATTTAAAAGACTTGTGAAAGTGTACAGAGAGTAAATTATTGTTATATATGCAGTACGTATACGCCGAGGGAAAAATTATTTAAGAAAAGTAGAGAACAGTCAAATCATCAAAATTCAAATTACATACAAAATAAAATCTATTCTCTAAAGTATTATTGCTATTAGTTGCTAATACAACAATTTTGCCAATATAAACGTACAGAGGAATCGAAAAAAAAAAGAATAAGAAAGAATAAGATGTTAAAAATGATTATTGATTTAATAATTTAACGAATTATTAAATAATATTCTTTTAATAATTACATTTAATTTTTATTGTAAATAATGTCTTAATTTATCACCTTAATTTATTTTATAAAGCATTTTATATTGAAAACAAATTTAATGCTAAAAGTTGACAAATAAACAGTGTCTACACCGTCTTTGAAAAATAAAATTAAAAAACTAAAAAGGCAGATAAAATCTATAATTTTAACGGTTCAATGAACAACTCTTTATTCCTTAAATTATGAAATTTATAAATAAATGATGGCACTAATAAAATTGACTGCCTATTAATGTTAAATTTTTATGATAGATGATATATGGAAAGTCTTAATGCGAAATTATTTTGTAATTTTATTTGAAAGTATTATATATGCAACTTTGAAAAATTCTATATTTTATATTTTTATAAAAGTGCTTTATTCGTTCTATAAATTTAAAATTACAGTTTATGTAAGAAATAGAAAAATTGGCCTATTAATCCAAGATTTGTACTATGGAGATTGCGACAGTGGGTAAAAAAAAGGAACTATACGACATTGTTTATATGTATATATAAATTTATATGTATATATAAATATCCTTATAAAATATATATTTGTGTACACAATATCAAGATGTATGTGATCAACTATTGCAAAAACGTTATTCTTACGGCATTGTAAGTATTATTTTTAAAATGTATATGTCATGAATAATAAACATTGGATATTAAAATTGATGGCTTATGCATTTTATCATTTTTCATAAAAAGGGAAAATTCTTGATAGTATATTTAGATAAATATAACACGAAAGTATATAATTAATTAGTTATGTACTTTAATTTCATTATCCATATCGATTGTATGAAATATCCATTGTATTCTATATACAAACAATAATTAGTTATATTATCTTTAACTACGAAATCTCTAAGTACAGAATAATTGAAATAAGATTGTTATAAATAATAAAGGAATATTAACTTAATTTAACTGTCTAAATTATATATTGTCCAAAAGTACTTCAACGATTATATATAATTTTGAATGCAATTTATGATATTGTATTTCTTACTTTTATTAATGGTTATTGTTACGATTCATTTATTATTTATATATTTTATTAGAGTTATAAAAACATTTTAAATTATGAATTATTTGGTGTAAATTTTTATCTACACATATTTTTACTGTAAATATTTACTATTAATTCCAGGCAGGAGTTTTAAACATTTCCATACATTCCTTCAGGCAATAAAGATAAGAATGAAAATTTTGGTGTTTATATTAACAGAATTTATTTCATTTCCTCGCTAAACAATTTTTAAAAATTATAATTTACCACTTATAAGTTTAGTTATAAAATTTTTTTCGAGTAATTACGAAAGTGTACAAATTCTTTGACCTTAGAGGGAAAATATTTTATCAATCAAAATAAATAAACAGGAAAATTTGTTTAAAAATTTAAGTAAATTTTGATATTTGATATACAATTACTAAGTTGTACGATACATTCATCTTAATTAAGCAAACTGATTTATTTTATAGGGATATTTAATAAAATAGGTAAACAATCTTTATGGTAATAATAAATAATCCTTATAAAATTAAAAAAATATAATTTCATTATTATTCACTGTATTATTATCTGAGCTTTGGAATATAACTAATTTATTATACGTAGTTAGCATAAAAAACTTTGTTAATAACGAACGAATATTTCTCAAGATTTAAACATTCCATATTTCATATAAATATTGTTTTTTTTAAATCGTTACGTCGCAATTGCAATCAAAATAAAAACAAATATGAATTTGATAAGGATTTTAAAAACTTTAACATGCAGCACAAGTGTTTATTTAATATTTAAAACTTTTATTAAAATGATCATTTTTTTAAATATTTAACTAATTTTTTTTTTTTTTTTTTGTTTTTTTTTTTTTTTTTTTTTTTTTTTTTTTTTTTTATCGAAATGAAATAAAGACTGACAATTGTATAAATATTTTAGAAAAATTAAATGGAATATTGTTTTATCTTAAACGTATATTCAAATTTAAAAACAGTTAATGCTCTTTAAAAAAAAAAAAAAAAAAAACACGTAATGAAATTTAAAAAGAATTAATGTTACTATTTCATTGTACTATATAATTAATAATGAAATGTGTTGCCGTTTTGTTGAAGCTATTGAAAAGTTAATATATATTTAAAAATAAATATTGTTCTATTGTCTGCTTTTTTTTTTTTATTTTTAATCTTGTATTAATTAAAAATAGATCGATAAACTTAATTAATTTCATTTTTATTTCTAACATAAATAAAATGCGATGTATAAAAATAATTATATCTTGGAAAGTTATGACTAATTCTTAAACAATGATCGTTGATCATCGATATACTATTTTATAATAGAATTTATCTAATAGAACTTCTATTTGATTACTAGACAAAATTGAATTACACTTCTATTTAAGTATCAGTTCAAAAGTATTGAATAATAGTTTACATATGAATTTATGAAATTCATCTTACTTAATTGTACCTTTAATACATATATTATTTAAGCGTATTATTTTATTAATATAACAGTTTAATATAAGTTAGTTAGTAGACAGTTTAATATAAATTCAGCGTTAAATTATCAAATATTTTTTATTAAAATATTCTCTATATGATATGCCATATATTCTAAAAATAACAAAAAAGTAAAAATTTGTCCCCATGCAATTAGTTTTTCACGTCTATCTCTTTTTATTAATAATACAATACTGTAATTATAACATTGAAATTGTATTTGAATACTTAATTGATTTAATAATTTTCATTATGGCTATAACCGAATAAAGCAAGATTTGTATTACGAGACTCTCCGCACGAATCCTTGGTTAAATTACATTTCTAACTAAATTTATCATCTAATATAAAATATATGTGTAATATAAATATGGATATATCAAAGAATTAGGGCAATTTTTACGAATTGATAAAATCATTTAAAGACTCTAACTAAATTTTTAATTTCTTCTTAATAGTTAAATACTTTGAATTTAAATTCATTTTAATAGCTAAATACCTTAAAAAATTGAAAAATACTAAGTTCTCGGTATTGTACTGTAAAAATCTTAAATATAAGTTTAGTCTAGATACTATTGATCTAATAATTTAGATAAGAATGATGCTATCATAAAAAATCCTTCCACTTCGTTTAAATAATCCATATGTGCTAGTATATTATTCAACGACTATTTAAAAAGTTTACCCATCAATTTAATATATTATATGTTTTTAAGAAATAAGGTGCTGAATCTTTATTTTCGTAAATTAAAAATAAACTTTTCAAATGCATGCAAGATATCGTCAAACGATTAATAGTTTTCTTATTCTTTCTTAACCACGAGATTAATCGGCTTAATTGTTACTACATACATTCATAATCGAATTAATTATATAATTTTTAATTAATATTCAATTGGCTTTACAAGATACGTAGTATTATTCTAATATTGACGGCTCAATTTTCATTA